AAGAAGAAAAAGGAAAAAAAGAGAAAAAAAAAAAAAAGAAGAAAACACAAGGAACAAAGAACAGGTTAACTTGAAGATCTTGGGTAGTTTGCTAGGAAATGAATCTAATTCCTTGAGAATGGTTCTCTTTTCCCCTCCACCAATCCTCAGGTTCCTGCCTTGGAATGGACAGCTGTGTGCTGGCTGTGAAAAGGGATTATAAAATACAAATCTGCATATGGTTTTTATGAACATCTGCTGTACAATAGAACTTTGGATCTGATACAAGATTTCAAAAATATAAAACAAAACTACTATAAAAGTAGGGGCATTTCAGCAGCATTCTTTACGGAAAGCTGCCTGTCGCAAAGATCATTCCTTGCTATTGTCTGGGATTAACTCTGTTAATTTTTTTCTTCATCTTGCTGGATTCACTGGGTTATTTATTCTTCAATGGCAAATGTCATGTGACAAAACATCCCAGGAGTCTCTATGAAGAGAACAGAAACCCCATGACATCAAACCAATCGAGGAGGGAGGACATGGAAGTAGTCAAGGCCGAGTGTCCAGCGGTGTGACTGCTACTGAGAGCTGGCCCTCTCCAGGACGTGCAGGTCGTAGTGCTTCTTGCTGGTTCTCAGGCGGAACTTGCTCACTGAGGTACTGCTCTGTCTCTTGAGCGCGCTCTGTGCGGCCGCCATGCTGGGGAAGGTGGCCAGCACCGTGTAGGTGGAGGCCAAGTCCCCGGCCCGGGAGGGCTCCGTGCCCCCGCTGCTGTCCCCGCAGAACCGCCGCTGCTGCTGCTGCTGCGCCTGCAGGCACTGGGAATCCCTCAGCCACCGGATCTTGGCACCCACTTTCAACAGTTCTCCAAAGAGTTTTTCTGCTTCCATGCGAGTTATGCCTTCTGGCAGCTCAGTAATTTCTAGAACTTTCCCCACAACTGAAAGAAGAAAAAGCAATGAATGTGAATTGGTTAATGCACCCTTAATGAAAAATGACTTATTTCATACTTGTATTTCCAGCTGGTTGATACCAAATCCACAAGCTTTGCCTTCCTGATATTCTAGACAGCCTTTGGTTTCACATTTAGCACTGCTTACAAATACAATTTGCTTACTTGTACAAGTGTGCAAATAAAAGCTGAGAATACAAAGAGGGTCCTCAGAATAAAGACAGGAAAATAACAAAATCGTCAACAATTTATTTTTCAGTAGTTTTCAGAACTCACTATAGCATCTTACTGGCCTTGCCTGGTAACACTTCACACATCACCATGCCAAAAAACCTAGTCTGTCTTATCTCAAAAAAAAAAAAAATCCTTTCCACTAAATTGTTAGAAAAAACTGATTTATCTAACTTTCTGTGAAGAGTTGAGAGTAGGTAGCAAAAATTCTTTCCTGTAAAGGTATTAAAATAGATACCATCAGATTTTATTTGGATGACATCTTTACCAATTCCAATGAGCTAGTCTGTAGATCTCATACTATGTCTCCCACATCCATATGCTTATACATATTAGAATGGGAAAAACTAAAAAAACAAAAACAAAAGGCACAAACTAATTTGTGGTTTATGTCTGATTTAACTTGTTAATCAGTAAAAGGAAGCAGGTGTGTATAATTAATATTTAATGTAACAATATCATAGAAACTAGGTCCTGTAAACGGATATACTTACTCTTTTAGTACTCTCCAATCTTGAACTCTGGCCATTTCTCCAGCCTTCAAAACTACACTTTTCCCATTTAACTTCCCTTTTCCCCTCTCTTCATCCTTACATTTCCAATGTTTGCCATGTCCATTTCTGTCCAATTACTCTTCATTCTGGCCCTTCTCACCTTTTCTTGTACATTCCCAGCCCATCACCACAATTCATTTTGCTGGAGGACTGTGTCAATCAGCAATTCTATACCTGGTTCTCCTGCACCAAGATCTGCTGAAGCAGCCTTCTTTGCTGGTTTCTTTCCCCTGTTTCCATGTCTGTTTCCAGGCTGACACTGGCAAGATTGACATAAAGGGTGTACTTTAATGACAATCCATCAGTATCTTAATATTTCTAGTCAGCTCAGTGAAAAGCAATGCAGAAAAGATGTCTGGAAAATAACCTGCACTACCCATGGGACAGAGAAAATTTTCACATCCAATTTTAGTTATTGAGTTTGATAATCTTACAGTCGAGCACATTCTATCCTTCACTACAGAAGAAAGGGAGGCAATGATGGGGGGAAAAAAATCACCTTAAATCATCTTGGAAGAACATCCCCCTGCCCCAGCTGTCACATCCTCTAAGCTGACATTGGGTACAACTGAGGAAGGTAGAGGCAGGGGGTTTGTGTGTCCCAAGAATTAAATAGAGAGAAAGACTTCAACTTTGCTAACACCAATATTTTGAGTTTGTTTTTCTTATAAGGAACTCTTTGTTTAGAAACTACAGCATGTATTTTTTTAGAAATTGTTACTTGAATGTAAGAAAATAATTTAGCAAAAGGTCGCCTTTAGATTTTTGAATTAGCTAGTGAATTGCTTAAAATAAAAAAAAATCCATCATCTACACTGTGCCTAAAAGCTAAAGTTCAGATAAATGTTTCTCACTTTTTTAATACAACAAACAAGAACAATGGGGAGTATTGACACACAATAAAACTTATTGCAAAGCAAGCACCTTCCACTCAATGACTCTCCAAGTGCAATAACACATTCCCCTATTCAAGGTGGTTGTAATGGTAGTTCTGAATTGGTTGTTTTTTCATTGTTGCCATGAGATTGTTCTCTTTTAAATACCTGTTGGCTTGTTACTTGTCCACGTAATAAAGATGGATTGTATTGCAGGGGTTGGCCAAGCAATGGGTATCTGGCATCTCCTTAAAGAGAAAGGTAATTAGAAGGTTTTTTCTGTTACAGGAAATCTTCCTCCAAGTCCGTCTCACACTGAATGTTACACAGAAGAGAAAGCAGAACCGCTGTGCACAAAGGTGAGTGTCTGGCTGGGCTAACAAACTCAGAGCTGCCCTGACTCCATCAGTGTCAGCCACGTCCTGATCCAGAGGTGAAAAGGTACAAACTTTCTGGTATTTACGAATTACACTCAAAACTGCAGTCTTTGTCTGTTTCAAAATGAGCTGAATAAGTATAAAGCTCCTCTCAGCATGCTAATTTAGTAATTTTCATGGTTATAGCCCTAATTAGAGCCAGGTCCTTCTTCAGATTCCTATTTGTTGCAAGGATGCACAAAGACAATGCCCTAGAAGTTTTCAGTAATCACAGCAGATTAAGGGAGCTAAGAGGTGTGCTTCAAACAGGCCACCTGGAATTTTGACAACATCAGAATACAATGCAATGACAAAGATTATGCAACAAATAAGACAAAGACAAGAAAATAAGGCTCTATCAATAAGAGATACATACAGAATTTTCTGTAAGTTTTGTTTTAAAGTAAATCTTTCTATAAAATGAACCTGTTAATTTTGAATTTGGGAATTTTACCAGGATATTTTTGCTCACTGACAAAAGGGGTTTATATCACTGTATTTTAAACAGTATCTAATAACCCATCTCAGTGAAAACTGCCTATTTTCTGTTTTTCTGTTGACATGGCAGCAGAGGATTGAAATTCTTCTACAAGGAATTTTTTGTGTCCTTGGGTGGGTCCTATCTGAAATACTGAGGTACAGTCCTGGCTAGAGGCTCCATCCCATCATGCTTCTTGTTCTACAGAGGAATGAAGAATACGTGCTTAGGCAGTGGTGCAATTCAGTGCATTTTCAACTTATGATTTATGTTTAAGACTTGAAGCTAAATTCTAGCAAACATTTTATAAATATTTTTTAATGCTGAAATGGGAAGTTTCACAATATGAGAAAGTCAGTGTGCTAGAGAAACACATTAATGAGGAGATAGATGAAAAGCCTTTGAAGATATGGGGGACAGTATCAGTGCAGAAGATAAGGTGAAATTTTAAATGTTTCAGTGAATAATTTTGGTGATTCTGCTTCACCAGCAATACTACTAAAATGACCCACAACTCATCAGAAGATCCTCATATAACTTGTATTTTAAGGCACTAAAATAGAAATCACACACGCGTTTTAGTTAACTAAAAATATACCTTGTCCGGGGACAAAAGGTCTAGAAAACTGGGACACGATAGAAAGAGGAGCCAGTGTGGGACGGATGTTCTTCATGTTTGACAGCTGGGCTGGTGCTGGTGATTGGGCTGGTGAGGTGACAGGGCTGCCCAGTTGAGGACTATGCTGCAGCTGGAATAAACAACACATTAGTGTTTCAAAAATTACTACCTGAACAAGCTGAACAACACCCACAGCCTTCAAAGATTTAAATGAACTTAAAATAGCTCTATTAAGTACAATGAGAGCAAGATTTTTATTCCCCAGAAAGAACTTTTGAAAAAAGACAGAATTTATGCATATTTTGAGTCACGCTGGAGAAGCAAACAGCACATCCTACCTGTGCAGCACCGTCTAAAGTGCTGAGTTCCGTGGCCTTGTGCCCGCGGGGGTGATCACAGTAGTACTTGCCGCCTTTCCTCTGCGGCGGTGACGGGTTCCGCGGCGCGGCGCTGCCGGGCACGTTGAGCTGCATCATCACCACCCCCCCGGCGGGCGGCGGCGCCACGGCTGCAACGCAAGGAGCCACAGGGACCCGTCAGCACCAGCAAAGGGAAACAACACACTGAATGTGCTTTGCTAAAGGAACTGCTGGTTCTGGAAAACGAGCAGTATCTTCTGTTCAATAATTGCATTTCCACTATCAGCTATAGTGGAAATAGTTTACTTAGAGAAGGCTTTCCAGAACAGGAGATAGTGGAACCACTGAAACTCATTGCTGGGAATGCTTTTGAAAGAAACAGCTCTGTTTATTAGTAATTGACAGTATTCAACATTCACTGCAGTTTCTATCAGAGCACTGTTCTGCAGACTGTGATATTAAGCAAAAATATGCTTCATTTAAAAATATAAGTTTCCTAATTAGTTTTACATGATGTACAGCAATGAAGACAAAATGTTTTCTCTGATAGGATGGCATGTATCAGCAAGACCTGGGATCAACCTTTAGTCTAGGCAAGCTTACCCTCACAAGTTCTCCCTAGGAATGCTTTTCTGCAAATTGATCCCTGTATTGTGTCCCACTTGGGAACTGCGGTAGCCACAGGAACTCCAGAGTCAGGGGGAGAACAGCTGGACATCCAGCACTGTTCCACAAGGTTCTAAACCAGGAGCTGTAAGGAGAGGCTGCCCAAGAGAGAAACTATCTCCCCTCTCTGCCCCAGGTAATTTATATAATGCCCTTTTGATTTGTAAATGGTTGTTGGTGATTTCTTTCTCTGCTCTACCCATTGTTTACAGCATTTCTCAGAAACCACGATTAAAACACACAGTTTAAACATCATTTAATCATCCATCTTTAAAGCAGGATTCTGCAGTCTTCTCAATTTACTGCCACATCATAGCACCAAGATATAATGATAAAATGCAGTCATCTGGTGTTTTTTATAATAGGCTGTTGTCTTCGCTGTCCCTGGGCTCCACAAAAAGAGAGACTTCTTCAAAAACCAAACAATGTAGAATAAGGAACTCATAACATTAAAACTACATTAGCTTTTGTAAATTGTATTTGGAAATATTTATTACATGGGTAACTGAATTAACAATGTTTTTACATCTATACTTTCTTTTTAATGGCAAGAAGTTTTACCCAGGTGTTTGATTGCAATCAAAGCATCAGGTATCTGGCCAGCTTTAGCAGAGGATATAAATTAAGGTATCCCTGCAAGAGTCACATTGTGAATATTTCCGTTTTGTTGCACAGCATAAACAGAGCTGTATTTTATTCTGACTGCTACACAATCAGAATATACAACACAACAGTTTTGCACTGTAAAGCCATAAACGTATCTAGTCTCCATATGTAAACCTGAGATATACCAAATGCCTCTTTACACTCTATGCCTAACACACTTTTAAATATTATAGTCATTTTAATATTATATGCATATATTTATATATTTTATAAATTATAATAATTTACATATTACTGGTTTATATACAGAATTTCACTTTGCAACACTACCGTACTCTTGTTCATGTATCTCTGTTCTATGAGAATAGAACACCGAACAAAAACATGTTTTTCTTCCAGAAACATCTACACCACCATCTCTAAAAGAGTGCCAATCTAAAATGCAATTTAAACTGCAAAAGAAGATTTTATACATTCAGAAAAATCATGTTTTTTCTTTTGCTTCTAGTTCCCCAGCATTTCAGGAAATTAAAATAAATAGAATTCTTTTCCTAACCAAGTACCCTGACACAATGAAGTGCCATACAATGCATAAGTCAGTTTGCAGACACTTTATGACCTGTCAAATCCCATGAGAAGGGAAACCCAGAAATCCTTCAAAGCCTCCCCAGCTTTCCAGTCTGGTCCCCTGTAACACAACTCTGCTGATTGTGGACCTGCTCATTGGCCCTACCTCAGAGGCCTTCATTCAGCACCTGCATGTCTTCCCTTACTGAAAAGCACAAGTTTTGATTTATTTCCCAGAATTTGCTCCCCCAAACAGAGCTTCCTCCTTCCTGAAACTTCCTTAAACCCCAGGCCATCAAAACCGCACAAAACCAGCACTTCCAGGATAGACAGGAGAGCAGAGAAACAAACTACTGCAAGACCCACTTTAGACATTCTGAAATGACAGTCTTCCAGAATTAGAGCCAAACAAACTTGAAGCAAAATGGAAACCAAACCAAACCTGCCCATGAACTGCTAATCCGTTTATCTTGCCACATAACTGCATGTTATCTATTTACTAATAAACAGGTTCAAAAAATACCTTCAAGATAAACGTTTGTAAGAAACACTACACATGTAGCAGAATCTAGGTCATTGATCTAGGGTTGTTTAATCTAGTGCTTGCTTGCAAAATACTGACATGGCAGAAGTTGAGATTATCCCTTTTTTACCAACCAAGCCTCTAATGTATCAAATTCCCTAAAAGTAAATAAAGTCAGTGCAACTGTGGCCACAGGATTGTTCTGTAATCTCTTGGTCTGTGGCTAACCCTAGTGCTCTTATTTTCCTGAGCAGGCTATCTATTTTATGATTGGACCTTCAGAATTGTGTTTGGATATTAACATTTATAAAGGTTTCATGGATTGACAAGCTCTATATCAACACTGCTTTCAAACACGTTGGGGCTTTAGTTTACACACCTTCTAAAAATTACCCAAGTATTTTGTAGACCAAAACCTTCTGAAACTGATTTAAATATTTCTGCTGAATAACATTTACCTGCTAAGGGTGGCCTCCAGGCCACCCCCAGGCAGCCACTGTTTCACTTAAATTCCAAGTTATAATTTTAAAATATACAATAACAGCAATACAGATGAAGAATTAAAAAAAAAAAAAAAATCTGAGATGGCACTCAAGTTTCAGTTGTTCGAGCAGTTAGCCATGAAACCAATCTGAAAATTTACAGCAGGTTCTAGACAGAATGGCTTAGATGAAAATCCCAATAAAATATACCTTTTTTTGGCTGCATGATGGAAAGACCAGTGGGTGAACTTTTACATGATGAGGGTGGAGACACTATGCTGTAGTGCACAATGGAAGCAGCCTGCTGTGGCTTTGACTTGGATGAAGGTGGCAATAATGTAGGAGGTGATGGCTTCTGACTTGAATGGTTGCTATAAACTATGGAAGTAAAAGCAGTAAATAAAGCTGCCATAAAAACAAAACACCCCACACAGCTTTGAAATACTTTCAGCTTTCCAGCAGGTCAAAAAGCTACCCCACAATGCTCAATTTTCAAACTCTTCTCAAAACCTCTTAAGAAAAATCACTGCTCCTATTCTGTTAACTGAAATCTAGAACAGTTCTTGAATAGAAGAGCCAAGTATGCTGCTTCCAAAATGTACCTCACTCCTGTCACAGAAACCCAAATCTCAAAGTTTTCAGACCCATCTGGCTATTCAGGAAAGGATGGAAATGATTCTGCTCCCAATGTATGGTTCCCATGCCTGTCTTGACTCACCAGTAGATGTGCAAGGCATTATGATGTATGACGCTGGATTTTAAGAAACTTGAGATATTTCAAAGATAAAAAAAATTGAGACTTCAAATTAATCAGCCTCAGAGTTAAAAATGGAAAATTAATTCAAAAATGGAACAAAGCAGCAAATAGAATACAGCAGTTAACTCTAAATCAAACCCTTAATAGCAAATATCCAATCACCCTGCATAATAATAGCTAGACATTTTTGAAGCTTATCAATAAAAACTTTGTTCTCCCAACCTGCACACTGCTGTCCTTGAAGCTGCTGTGAGTTGCATGGTGATGATGTTCTAGGAAACTGTATCTGCTCTGATCCAGGCGGCTGCAAATATCCTACAGATGAACTGTAATAACAAAACCAGAACATGACTAACAGGCATTTATGCTTCACTCATTTAATCACGACTTCTGCATCTGCTGTCTACATGTGCTGCAAATCACTGAGCTTTTGTTAATTTTAAATCAGTAATATTCCCACCTACCCCTGAATTCATTCATTCCTCAGAAGACTGAAGCTTCTCACCTCTTCCTTAGCAAAAACACGTGCCCCACCTACACTGAGTAACTGTATTAATTCACCTATTTAGATATTCTATTTTTGTGTCCACAGCTTTATATCAGCATAAAGACATGCAGAATAATAATAATAATAATAAAAAGACAATTTGTTGTCTTGCTCACTTAAGCAGAATTAGGTCTCAGTTAAGCGATCCCCACAGCCCCTGCCATGAGGATTTGGGACGTAGTCCCTCAGCTGGGGGCTAGCCCTGGGCAACTGGGGCAGCACAAAGACCCAGCTCTGCTCCAGGGTCCACTGACACAGCCCAGAGAGGAGATGGCTTTTCCAAAGGGGGTGGGAAACAGAACCCGACTCCAGGGATAAACAACCATCCAGCTGTTTGCAAAATGTAGGAAAAGGAGAACTTGAAAAGTTTATTTTGCCAGGTAGTTTTTCAGGGTTATCAGGGGAAAAAATCAGGTAACACAGTTAGATTCTATTATACCACTAATGCTCAGCCAGAACATGAGGTTGGTGGCCCATAATCAGAACAGTGCCTACAGAATCCTGTACTAACAGATAAACATTCTGAGAATAAAACAATTCCTTCAAATTGTGGGGGGAAAAAAAAAACCACCTAGGTTTAATCCTCTTGGACCTACTATTTTTACCTATATTGTCAAAGTTTGTTCCATCCTTTGTCCCATAGGTCACTTATATAATTTTAACTTAAAGATTCCCTTCCATTAAAGCAGACCAAACCAAGTGAAAACTAACGCAGATGCTCTCACACAGCTTCTGATCTGCCTACTGATTCTGGTTTTCAGCAGTGACCTGCAGTTCTGACACTCAGCTCCTGCAGAACAGCATTCTGCTTTCCTTGTTCAAGGGCTGCAGCATAACTATTCTGATGAAAGCAAGATGCTCTCTTTGGTTGCTAGTTTGCTCTGAATTCATAATAAATGAGAGGGACATTCTAAATTGCACAAAAGATCAAGCAATCAAACATAATTCAAGAAAAGTCTGCATTATGCCGACCTGTGACTTCACTGAATCTCAAATATAATAACTACAGAAAAGGATTTAAAATAAACTTCAGATACAAAGAACAGGAATTCAGATTTAAGTAGATTAAACCATGTGGCGATGACACAAATACTACTGAAGTCTGCACTCTGAAAAGGATGAACAAGCTTCAAACTGCTGCTGCTTGTTTAAAAGCTCCCAGGTATTTTTAAATGCTGCACATTATTAAGTTCAAAAAATCTCGTGAAAAAAAATTGGTAACAAGCAATAATCCTAGTGAATTTTCCTAGGTACTTGCCTATCTGTTCTCAAATAGACTGCTTTGGGGACACAGATGTATATTCAGGGAGGGCAGTACATGCAGACCAATTTGGTGCTACCAAGGTGGGTAAAAAAAAAAGAAAAAAAGGTTATTTATCAAACAAAAGCCAAGTTTCTATACTTGTTTCACAGCCAGCTTGCTGCCAGCAGGCCTCATCAACAATACAAAGTAAGCTAAACCTTTTCCATTCCAAAAATGAAGTCAGTCTTTTTCTGGGATTCAAATTATTTTTCCTCGACACATTATTAATGCAGTATCTTGGACAAAACCAGTGAATATGGACAGTCATGTTAAATATTACTGCAGAAGGACTGAGCTGCTGGTGTTTCACAGGTAAGAAACAAAACTCAGAACATTTAAGAGGTGGAACTGCAATAAAGTATTGCTGAAAGTGCTATGGAGACAATGTTTTCCAGTCCAACAAGTATGTCACAGTTAAAGCAGTACTGCTTGTTTCACTTAATTGCATAGAAGCAAAAATAAAGAGTGCCTGTAAGTCTGCCTTTAAAATAATAGTTTTAGTATCTGCAGTACTAAAAGCAGATCCTGTCAGTTCTTACAAAAGCCACTAAGCCCAGCTGCTGAGAAATCAAGCATCAGTTAAGCTTACCTTAGGTTGTTCTGTTGACCTGATGGAATGACACTGTAGTAGACTGGCATTCCTGTGGTGGGCAGTCCTTGGCTGGACTGACTGGGAATTATAACAGGCTGCTGATATGTCTGCTGGGGCACTGCTTGGGAACCTTGAGGCACCGAAACCTGCAATGGGCCACACAGTAAGGTTTTCTCCTGCGGACAATGTTTCTGCCTCTTGACCATCACCCAGTTGATACAAGAATTTAAAAAAAACTCTAGAAACTGAAAGATTTCCTGGAGTTATCTAAATCCAGGACAATCGTGATAACAGCAGCTAAAATAACAATGCAGTATTAAAAAAAAATATTTAAAGCTTCTTCCCCCCAAATGGAAATGTTGGCTCCAAGAGACTCCACGAATTAACAATATATTTTCTCTACAATAGAAAGTGGGGTGGTGGGAAGGAAACCTTCCAAGCTTTTCTTCCCCACCCTCTGAACTGCAACTGATGCAGTACTTGGCTTTCAACAGAACCTAGAACTTGTGCACTTGCAATGCTTTGCTCTCACTTCGGTTGTGGGTTTGTATCTTTAACTTCTGTCCCCAAAGTCACCTTTGACACCTGCTTGCAGCTTTCTGCCATTTCTACCATAAAGCAAAGGACTTCAAGAAAACCCCAACACTCAAACCCACAAAAGAATCATTGGAAAGTTATGAATACATTACCCACCTGATATGATGGCACTGAGGGATATGGAACAATCACACCTTGAATTTGATTCCCAATGTTGTTGTGTTGGCCACTGACTAGATTTTGATTCTGAGACTGCTGAACTCCAACTAAACCCTGGTAGTTTTGCTGCTGGTTGGGCAAAATCTGGTAACCTGAAATTATACATTTAAATCTTATTTTGAAATAATGAACACGTTTTAAGCATAGTTGCCTATGCAACAATACACGTGTAGCATTTTCCAATGACTTGTTTAATCTGGCAGCTTCACAACAGTTGAACTTATCATGCATATAAAAAGAAGCCAACATTAAAATTAATAGATTTAGTCATTTGGATTCAGCATGAAATATGATCCATACTGTTTGCAATGCTGCTCTCACATGCGTGCACTATTCATTTACACTCTGGCTTACATGCATTAACACCTTGATTTGACAGGTGAAAGCTGGAAGCACTTGAACAAAGCATGCTGGACAGGATCAAACCCAATTCAGTTTCAAAACTCTACGTATGCAAAATTCAGCTTGGACCTCAGGTGCCCCAGGGGTCAGAGCATCTTGACTGCAACTCAAAACTAAATCAGACTTCAGGAATATTTGCATAAGGAAAGTATGCAAATCCTTTCCAAAGGGGCAATTTCTTCTGAAATCTGTAATGCTAAACCAACTGGGGACTGAGAAAAATCTTCCAAGTTCAAGCCATGTTGGTACATAGTGGAAGATGTTTTGTATTCGAAGTTATCTTAGGGATACAAAAAAAGATTTTCATATTCATCCCTCCAGTGTCTCTAAAACAATTTATTATTGCTTATACTGGTATCCTCTCCTATCTTTCAAAAATTGCATAAAAAACCCCACCCCAAAACCCAAACCAAAACACCCCCAAGCATGAGTGCCAAACAGGAAATCTGTGCATTTATAAAGTCCAACCTAAATTCCCCCTTTCCTCTTTTTTTTTTCAAAAAGCATTTAGCAGATAACTGCTACCATGATCCAAACACATGCAGAACACAAGTTCTTTTTCTGTCATGTTCTAATCATACAGGTGTGCTCTACTTACCACATCAGCAAAACCCCAGCACAGTCAGTGTTTCTGAGACAAAGCCAGTTATCCCTCCAGAATAACAAAACTGGGCTTGTCAAGATGCACTGACGGCAAGAAGAGTCTGTGTTTGAGTTGGACACATCCACAGCCCACTGACCTTGACATTCCCCATGCTCCCTACCTTGGCAAGGAACTATAATAGAGCAAATTTAGCTGCAAAAACTCGCTTGGGTTTTCTTTAAACTGTGCTAAAAAAAGCTTGGTCTATTCTGAAAGTAAATCAGTTAATGTAAAACCTTTTTGTGAGCAGTAACCACCGATGTTCATTGATTTCATCCACACAGGGTACAATGAACATTGTGCACTAACAGCCTCAGCAGGCTCTCTATAGAAATTGCAACAATGAACACTAAAAGAAGACTGTTAATATAATCAAATATTGCTTCAAAAAATTAAAGGGAAGAAGGTTCAGTTTGTTAAAACCAAGACAGCTATTCATTAGAAACACACAACACTATAAATATTTTCAGAGGACTAGACAAGCGTTCAGAACAATACATGCTTGAAGTAGGATTAGTACTTAGAATTTTTAATAACTTAAGTTGGAACTGTGCACAAAATGCCCTTCATATCTGTTATATACAAAATGCTTTAACATATTTTGTTATAAAATGATCTATGACCCCTAAAAGCAGCAGAATGGGAAGTTGTGGTGTGACAGACCCAATCAGTGCACCCACAGTCTGAATCCCTCATGTCCCAGAAATTGCAATGGACCCATGAGTAGTTCTGCAGCCTTTTCTGGCACTTGCAGAGACAATCAATTCTGCAAGCAGAGGGAACTGGAACAATACAAATTGGCTGGCATGAAGGTTCCCTAGAGCGTTCCAAAGAATGCTCTATTTTTAGAGCAGTTTCACCTTTGCATAGAGTGGGCTAACAGAAATGCAGTACTCAGCACAAACCCCACACCTGCCACAGCAGATTGTCCCATTACACAGAAATACTCTGAAACTGGAGGTAAAAATAGGAGCAGGTTTCTTAGTATTTGCATAATTCAAAAGAAATCACAGTTAATATAAGAAAAGTTAACTCTCAGAATATAGAAATACATTTTCTGAATAATGCATTAGGAGTAAGAAACAGTGTTTATTGAAGAACAGAAAAGCAAGTACAACCACTCTGTTAACGAGCTGGGAGTTGATGAGCTTGGTTATGACTATTTTAACTACAGCTACTGTTACAGCTGGAGTAGTTTTATCCCTGGCTTGTGAAGCAGAAGCCAGTTGAACTGCAGCTGATGTTCCTACAGGAACTGTAGTTCAGACTGGATTTTTAAATAACCTGTAGTTAGATCTCATGGTAACTGGGCTCACATTAACGAGGCAATTGGAAATGGTTTTGTTCTTAAGGAGAGTTTTCTTCTCCCAACATCTTTTAGGCAACGAAAGCATTTTTATTAAAAGTGAACCCCCCAAGTATTTCACCTGAAACCCCTTTAAAAAGGAAGCCAGGAAGCAGCTGAAAAAGAGACCGGTTCACTGTGAGAAATGTAAACCTCTCAGACAGTGTTACGGCCCCGAATCCAACAGCTCATCAATAAAGTCAGGCCACTCCTCAACATTAGACCAGAAGTGGCTCCGGTTGCCATGCTCTCAGAAGCTGTCATCTTTTATCTAAATTAGTGTTTGCAAAGTTATTTCACAGTTAGTAACCACTTCCTGAGATGAACAAACCCTATGGCTTTTATGTAATGCAAGATTTGTAACTCTCGTTTTTGCCCAGGCACTTTGCTGTATGAGCCAATTAATGTGGTGGCTTTGGCTCAAAACCACACATTGCTAATATGCATCAACCACTTCAGGTGTAGCTTTATGTCAAATTAATACAAATATCAATACTTAAAATAAATTACAAGTGAGAGAATTTTCAAATACACCATCTTATGAGGTGTTTCCAGAGCAGATAAGACATGGAACCATCCGTTTCTAAAATGCTGATTCAAATTTGCCTATAAAGCATTAAATGAAAACCAGCAATGGCTGAAGAGCAGTTTGGAGATTTTCAGTTAAACACTAATTATGCAGTTTCTGGTAAGATCCTTCTTTCTCCCATTAGTGCTGGTAAACACCAAGTAACCAAACACTGAATAGAATTATTGGCTGGACCATGCCCATGCTACCTAAACATGATCCCTTGATGTCAGAGTGCAGGTACAGGGCACGTGATCAAAGCAGTAGAGCAGCTGTCTTCACAGCTTGCTTATTTTGTTTTTTCCAGGACAGAGAGGGAATTTATCTGCTCACACTTTTCACCCACAGGCAGTGAAATTCAGTTAAATTACAAAGAGCTAAAAACATACAAGAAAGGAACTTACCTAATAGCAACTAATTCATCTCTTTGTATCTTATCACCCCATGCTTTCCACTTCAGACTGGTTTGTTTGGGTACAAATGTACACTGAGCTCTCTGAGTTGGGGAGTTGGTGTTCTACTCACACAGGGTGTACCCACAGTGGGAAGTAATCTCTCCTAAACCTCAGACTTTTTGCTATTTAGTAGTCTAGGTATTAAAAATTCGGAGGAAGGAAAGCAGGTTGTGTAATACAGTTGGGTAACACATCTCTAACACCAGTGGATAACACAAGTTGCAAAATCAAGTAATTTGTCTTCCTTTGAAAAAATCTTTGTGAACTGAACCCTGAATAACTCCATCAAGTGTTGCTGCTACTATTGGAGCACTTCCTAGAAGAAGTGCAGAAGAGGAGCCATCCCTCTTATATGCTGCTTCACAGGACATAAATAAATCCAGTTAATATTTGTAAAAGCTGATCTTCCATCTCTATCTGTAGAGCAACATAGCTGGGGGCATGGGAAGGAATTAAAAAGACCCTCCTGAAGGAAACTCAAAAGGATGTTATGTGTTCAACTAGGAGCTGGTATAAAAGCTAGTATAAAAGCCTCTGCCTCCAAATATCTCTAGTTAGTTCTGAAAGTTTTGACCATGAGTCAAGTATATTTGTTTCAGAAATACAAATCTTATTGAAGAAGTCATAACAACATTTACAAGTACAGACTGTCAGAATAAAGGTAGCCTACAAAATCTGTAAGGAAAAAAAGACAAGAAGAAAAGAAGGAGATGGAAATGAAGCTCGCTAGTATTCATAGAAAGGTAACTCAGACAGTTGAGAAATCTTTACTAAAATAAGTAACCACATAAGTCTCATTATATATTCCATCCAATACCCTGACACATTCAATCATAGGACAGAAAGACTGAGTTAAACAGTATCACCAGTATCTTCTGCACAACACTCTTTCCATGCCACAGCATCTAAGATGATGATATTTAGCTTAGAACTTTCAGTGAAGGTACACCTCTTTAATGTTACATCATTTCAAGGTACTAATTTATCTTACTTTGCAAGTTAACCAAATTATTAGTTACTAAGTTACAAATTTTAAAAATTATTAACTTTTAAATTTTAAAAACCCTGTAATTAAAGTTACAGCATGAGCCACTCAAAGGAATGGCTTGAATCCCAAATATCATGCACAAGTGTCTCAAATTTTTCCACCTAAGGTTAGTTACGCTTGGTATTCTATGTGTGATCTTCTACTTTATTTTAAATTTGACAGCAAAGTAAGTTTAAAATGAAAAAGCAGGAGAAACACCACATGAAGTATTTTAATGAAAAGCTGAAAGAGCTGAACAAACCTGTCTGCTGGCCCGGCTGTGGCAGGGCCTGGTTCTGCTGGGTGCTGAAATGGACAGAAACAGGGCGGTACTGCTGGCTGGAGTGCGGGTACTGGCTGGGGGTGCAGTAACAGGGTGGCATCTGCAAAGGAACAATCAGAGGGTCACTACCTGCCTGCAGCTTTAGAGAAAGAGGCATCTAAATGCAAAATCCATAAAACAAAGATGCAAAATTTATTAAAAGGTGCAAAGGACGTTAAATAGTTCAGCGATTAAAAATCCCTTATACTACATAAATTCCCTCTTTAACAGCCAATTTCTCTACTTTTTTTGTTGAAGCAACAATCTCCTATTTCCACCAAGAGGCATTTGAGAGACAAGAAAACTATTCAGAACATGCATTTTACCAGCTACAAGTAGACAGGAAAACCTGTGTGATTGTTGCTCCTCAAGTAAACCGAAGTCATTCATTACAAAGCATATACCCAGAAAAGACCCCAGCCCCAGCACAAAAGCAGAGCTGCAGTTCTGCAGGGAGCCCAGACCGTATGAAAAGCTCCTGAGCAGAAGAGCAGCGTGAGTTTTCCCCCCAGCTTTCGGGAGGGCCGTAGGAGCCGTGGTACCTGTGGCACGGGCTGCTGCACAAATCCCTGCTGCGGGAGCACGGGCTGGCCCACGGGGTGCCCGGGGCCCGAGTAGGGCGGCGCGGGCTGCGCTGCGGGCGGTGCTGCGGGCGCGGCAGTGAGGATGTAGCCGGGCTGCTGCGGGGGCTGCAGCACCACGCCGGGCTGGAACAGCGCCGGGCCGGGCTCGGCGCCTTCGGCCGGGGGCTGCCGCGCCAGGCTCAGGTGGCTGAACTGCGATCCCAGGTTGTCTTGCTGCAGGCGTGGGAAAAACAGGAAAAACTACATTTGCAAATGCACGTTCAAGGAAAAAAATAAAACAGCCAAATACCTCAGTAAGTTTCAGACAGCACGTCTCACATTACTGGGCAGTAGCACGAGCGGCCAAAGAACAACAGCAAAGAAGACGGAACTGTAGAAAATTATCTTCAGGGCTGACAGTAGGAGAGAACATCCGTGTTCAGACTTCACTCTTTTCAATGCAAATATTTTGCCTTTTGGATTACATCTGCCTTTATCTACTTATTGTGATAATCCATTTGTCAAAAGGAAAGTTCTGAATTTGTGTCACCACCATTTTCTGACTGGACTCCAAAACTTAAGTGAAGACATCTAACCCCAGTTAAAACACCAGGATGCATCAGGATTGCTGAAGTAAATTTTTGGTTTTAAGAATTTAACATAATGAGGTTCTAATCCTGAGTTAAAAGGTATATTCTTCTAACTTAGTTATTATCCTACATGCAAAGATTAATTATCTTTTCATCTGAAATCAAGCAATAACAGCAAGAAATGTGTTCCAGGGGTTACCCTCTATCTGTGTTTCATTAAATCTGAGAGGATGCCACTGATTGCACTCTGCACTGCAGGGGTCCTGTGCAATCTGAAAGTTCTGTTACTGTAACCCCAAGCTCCTTTTCTTAACAAGCAATTCAGCATCAGATTAGCCACATCCTGAACATTAGAAGTGATCACTAACTAGTATTGCTTTTTTTTGCTAGACAGTAAGATTTGGTTCATACTTGGAAAGCAGACTCTCCAAACATGCAGGAACATTAAAACTATTTCAAGACCACTTGGTCTTAGATCATCCTGAAGATAGGAATTAATCAAGAAAAAGTAAGTGCAAGCTCCATCTTTTACTGATTAGCTACATTCACATTTTATGATGTTATGATTTTTTTAGTTTCCAGGCTAAAGGTATTATTAATTACGGCTGGAATTATGAATTTGCACCTAAAACTGAATTTAGTATACCTTTAGTATGTATTTAGTACATCTTAAAAAGCCTTATTTTCATTAGATAATAATCTGACTTTGGTATTTCATTCCTTAATGGTGCCCATTAAATGCAACTATAATGCTTTTCTATGTTGAATTTTACATTCTGCTTTTCCAAATTCTGAGTTTGAAGAGAAGATACTGCATGTGAGTTAGCTCTAAGTATGTCTGAAGGATAAACTCAAGCCACATCACACTAATTTCTGTTACACTACCAGTCTAAGTCTGACCTGGTTACTTTGTGACAGTGACTGGTATGGTACAAGCAGGATTCAGCCCAGGAACATGGCATTCCCAATAAATGGAGAAAGAACTCTCCTGGTGCCAACTATAGACGTGTCACACTTGGAATACAATCTAAGGCCATCAGTCCTTTTCATTATATTACATAAGTTACCATCAGCAGGAATAAATTTTGAAACTGCCAGGACGCTTCGTATAGGAATCCATTTCCTGAAGGTGAAATGCTTTGAAATTACTACAAACAGGAAGGAGTTTCCTTCTCTGCTCTAGCACCTATTAAAACTCTCAGCTGACTTCAGAAGCAACATCCCTATTGAATTCAGCTAAAACTGTACTTATTTACACGACGTTTCTGATTAATGCTGAAAATTAGCTATTGTACAACACTGTGGTAGGTTGGCTGGCTCCTAAGTACCCCTCAAGTCACTCCATCCTTCCTCTCATCCTTAGTAATATAGGGGAAGAAAATATGAAAGGCTTACGAGTCAAGAAAAGGACAGGAAAATCATTCACCAATTACCACCACAGGAAGATTAAATTTATTTATGCCAATTAGCAACAGAATAGGATAGTGAGAAATAAAAACAAAACTAAAACCAGCTTCCCTCAACCCCACTGCTTTTTCCCAGACTCAAGTTCACTCCCAAATCTTCTACCTCCTCCTCCAAGTATCACAAGGGATGGAGAAGGGGGCTTGTGACTGGTTCTCAGTCATGTCTCTACTGCTTCTTCCTCCTCACTCTTCTGCTCCAGGATGGGGATATCATCCTTCACAAACCTCTTCAATGTGGGTTCAGCCCAAAGGCTGAAGTCCTTCAGGAGTGGAGGGCCCTAGTGTGGGTCCTAGCAGAAAATCTGCTCCTGAAGACTCCAGCTTCCTTCAGAGCACCTGTGGGATGCTCCAAGGGCTGCAGGGTGAATATCTACTCCACCATGGTCCTTTATGCACTTCAAGGGGAGAATCTGCTTCACAAGAGTCTCCTCCCTAGCACCTGGAACACCTCCTTGCTTTCCTTCCTCCGGCCTCAATATCTGCAGAGTTGTTTCTCCCCCTCTCCCTCACACCCTTTTCCAAGCACACTCAGAATTGCCACCAGTGTGAATGACTGACTCAGCTTGGGCTGTGCAGTGCCAGCCCTGGAGCCACCTGAAATGGGCTCTGTCCAAAGTGGGGCAGCTCCCAGTCTCCTCTTCCAGAAGCCATCCCTGCTGCTCCCTGCTCCAAAACCTTGCCACATAAACTCAACACAAACATATACTCAGTAGAGTATCAGAGCACACTTTGACCTCTAGTTCAGACTCTCCCTTGGATAACAACTCTCCTTTACTAACTTTCAGTTTCAGTTTGTGTGGCTTTTCTTCTTTTTTCCTGCTTTTCGATAGACTAAGATATTTTATTTCCAGCTTCTATTTATTAAACAATAGATACTAGAGAAGTGGGAGTGTTGAAAGTTCTACCAAAGAGGCTACAAAAAGGTAACCAGAAAAAAATCAGAGCAGCTGATCCCTCAGAATGTATTAAGGTTGAGCAGAAGAGTGAGCAGACAATGGAACAATAAGAAACAATGGAAAGAGGTTAATCCAGAGACATAAAAAGGTACTGACTGGCTAATGAAACAGCATTGAAAAACCTCCTTTACAAAGGGAAAGGGAAATAATGGATCTCAAAATATAGAGCTATATAGATATAGCTTAATTGCATATATTCCTGCTGAACGTGAAATGTTCCCATCTTGGGCACTCAGGTGCTGTGTCACTGTGATTGAGAGCCAGTCACTACCCTGGTATCACACAGCACTCCAACAGGCAACAAAGGTCAGCAGCCAGCAGGAATGAGGCAGTGCAGGGAGCAGAGAAGAGAAGGTGTAATACCACAGAGTATTGCTGTGCAGAGGAGGCTGGCAGGAGCGGGGGTGGGTACGACACTGCAGAGTACTGGACAGGCTGGGAGGAAGGCTGCAGAGCCCGCAGAGGCTGCAGAAATAACAGGGTTATGAACAAGGTTAACACCAGAGTAAGAGAAGTGAAAACAAGTCTTTTGTAACACAGAAAAGCATCTGTGCTCCAAAAGAGCAACTCGCTCCACTCCCAGTAACAGAATGGATATGTCTTTTTTCTTAAGCTTAAGACTGCATAGAATGAAAACAGAAGTAACTCTGAATATCTCAGTCTCCCAAAAGACATCCATTGCTTTATTTGTTATACACTATATTAGCTACGTCAGCAATTGCTTCTATTTAACATTTACTGTTTCCTTCAGAGAGACTAAAAACTCCACATGCATCTTTCAAAGCATCTAAAGGCAGAATGAATTTACTACTAACCATGGATTCAAACATCCTACTTTACTTTTTCCAACAGTACTAAAGTATTTTCTCTAGATAGTTATCATTGCTCATAGTATTTCAGGCAGGTTTAATTTCAGCATCCATTAAGAAGGTAATCAGAGAATTCGTACAGAATTTGTGAAGAAAATGGCAAATATTACATACACACTTCTGTAAATTAGAAAAAGTACAAATGAGACCTTTTTCAAATCAAACCAGCTCTACTGTGGCATACCCAGCTATCGGAACAGGTTTAAACATGGAAAACAAACAAAGGTAAAAGGTTTAGATGAAGTTCTAGAAATAACTTTGCGATAAAATTTAAGAACCATCTGAAAATACCACAGGAGACTACCGCCAGTACCTTGGTGCCTGAAATAGCTGCAGTGGAGAGGGAGAACCCTCCCTTCTCCTGCCCATACATTTTGCCTTTTTTCTTCTTCTAGGGCTGGGGCAGTCTTTAATCTGGCCTATTTTACTAAACTCTTGTACAAGACAAGGATAAAAATAGATCCTGTACTTGTGGGTGTGGTTTTGTGAGCAGAATAGGCTGCAGTGCTACTCATGAGATGTTCATGCTGTACCAGTCCTGAGCTACTCCTGTGCCATGACTCCTGCTTGTGCTATACAGCACAGGAATTCATCTGGCTGAGAAACAACCCTAAGACCAGAAACCCAAAGTTCCAGCTGGATTAACTCTCTTCCCAGCTGCAAACTATATTGCTCTTAATGCCTGGGTAACTCCACAGTGCAACTAGGGATGAAGGCAGAACCTCTTGGTTCTTGGTAACAGAATATTTTCATACTAAAATTCCTCAATATGTTTAAGAAAAGGCTGTCTACTATGCTCAGGTATGAGCAGAGCTGATAGTCCTGAGGACTGGGAGGGAAAAATCCCAGTTACCCTTATCTGTGTGACTGCTGTTCACAGGCACTGCAGAAGAATAAATAGCCCCCCTGCTGCCCGAGCTGAGTGAGAGCCCTGGTGTCCCTGAGCACGTGTTTGACAAGTGCACCTGTGAGAGGACGGGGTTGGCTCCGGGCTGGTGCTGGGCAGGGCTGGGCAGGGCTGGCTGAGGTGCAGCTCCAGGCACTTGGGTCCTGCCAGGCTGCTGAGGCAGGGGAGGGTTGTACACGACCGGAGTGCCATCGGGATTGAGGAATGGCTGACCTGGGGGGAGAGACAACAAACACAACCAGCTGCACCATCTCGGCTAGGAGAACATGCACTAACACAGAGCAGGCAAAATGAATACAATAATAAAATTCAAAAAGAAGTGAAGTCATACTGGTTTATATGACAGATTCATGCCCACAACTATAACAGCAATGACTACATGCAGCTAAAACCCAAAACACTTAAGCTGAACAAAGACAGCCCAGGTCTTTACATAGTGAACACACAAAAATTTCTTATATCCTACTCATCTTGAAACTTGATTTTTAATCAAGTAGATTGAATATGACAGGAGTAATAAAGGAAAATCCTATTAATATACTGTTTTAAGGATCTTTTAAAGATTCATCTCCTTTAATCAATTTGAAAACCAGTCAGAACACAGGAGAGCTTAAAGGCAAATATTTTTTGAAAACTATATAAAGCAATAGCTGCCCTGGTATTACCATGACTGCTAATGAGATTACTGATAAAGGACTCTCTCTTCCCCTATTCTTAGATTAACTAGCTTTTAGCTTTCAAAATAAATAACACAGAATGATTCTCCTATTTAGTCATTTGCAATCTCAATATTACAGCAATGGGCCAATGAAAAATAACTGAAAAATAAACTCTACAAAAGGAAATTATAAAAAAACCCCAGTGCTTTCTTTTTATGTCTGGGTTAGACAAAACTAAAACAAATGGAAGGAATGACAGCCTGGCTGGCAAGGACCTGTGCCTACCTGCTTAGTGACACGTGTCCTGCATTGCCTTATTCTGATGCTAAAAGGGCCAACTACTGTTGTAAATTTTCTGTCCTCTAATTTAAAGATATTCTTATCCTTTCCAGAAAGGTTTAAACTGAGCCTAAAGCTTTTGCACCCTGTCAAAGGCAAACTAATGCTCCTCCAGACTTCTTGGTCCCATCATATTTAAATGCAACATAAAGAGTGGAACAGTTACGAAGAAAGAACTGGGGAATTCATGGCAGACACAGAGGGAGCATGAACAGACTTCCAAAATGAAGCTACAGCAGAACTGCAGCTCATCAGGTGATACTCAACTGAGCTTAACAGATTTCTCTTTAACACTCAAGAACTGGGAATGTTCACATTAATGGGACTCAGATTTTCTTATTTCCTTCTACTCCTGCCTGCTAATTACCAAGGCTCAGAATCCTCTGTCAGGAACTCTGAGGAATCTCTGCTTTAGCTAGCATTGGAACAATAAAGCCAGAGGAACAATTACAGAATACAATGGTTCAAGTACATAGGAAATCAAAGTTTATCTGCACCTAAATGTTCCTTGCTCTCAAAGTGTTCTTAGTCTTCTATAGAAGCTCATTAGACATTAACATAATTATGAAAGACTACTAATGAAATTAGCTCTAAGATGACAAATACGTTCTCTTCCAAATCCAATGGCTATCTACAAAAATTAAGTCCTACAGCAACTAATTTGTAACCAAATTTTTAGCAATTGATTCATATTAAGGAAAAGGAGGAATTTATCTATTTCAATGTTATACATTCTAGTTAAAGAAATTATTTATTCCATGATCATTTTAACACCACCAATGAGAAACATTTTGCTTCAAACATCATGTGCAGTTATATTCAAACATAATCAAGTTCATCTACAGAATGATGGTAAATATATCCTGAAGTATTTTCTTTTCTACAACGAAAACAAATCATTATACTAAAAATATATAATTTCCTAAAATTATGATCTTGTACATAAAAGGTAAATTAAAATTTTCATGATTACTTAATTTCTAAGTAAAAATTTGCCCAGAGAATGCTAACTCATTATTTAATCCAGACAAGTTATTACATATCTCCTTGCATTACATTATGAAGTATCAATTTCCTCCTACTTGCTAAAAAATACCAGTATTGGCCAATTACACCAACACTGATTTAATCCTGTTTTAAAGTGACAAGGAGAAGTTTAGAAATAGACATTTAGAAAATGTAATAGCATTACATTCTGTGCTCCTTTCTTTCACTTGTGTTTAACCCAGCCTTGAGCATAGAGATGTGAGTATGTTGCATCAAAAAAAAGGGGTTATAAATTTTCAAGTCAATATAAATCCTTTCTCAGGCTCTCTCCCCTCACAGAAACTGTTTTATAGTAGCACTGGAAAGGACATTTTCCTCTCCTGAAAACAGCTGAAACAATTAAGTTATTCTGTGTTCTGGACAGTAAATCATATGATTTTCATAGTTTGTGCAAGTCACTCATTAAAATTTTACATGTAAATTAAAACTCTTCTAGAGAAAATCATGTGAGTTTACTCATTCCTTTGATCCTCCAGTCATGCTTCCTTGTTAAATTAAGTGCATTGAACAAACACAACCACATTAAAAAAAATAAAGAGAAAAATAAAGGACAAAGGACAATACTGACATGAAATCTTATGCAAACACTCGTGCATTTTTTTCCAAGTTCCCAAGCATGTACCAACCTGTTTGAGGGTTGACCAGCACACTGCCAGGTGGGATGCCTGCTGCTTCCAAGGGAAGCAGAAAGAAGCTACTGCCAGCAGCAGGTGCCACTTGCCCGCTCATGCCACCGTCAAAGGAAAGAGAGTTACTAGAGCTGACAGTTGGATACACGGCAGGAGTGCCAGGGGAGGGCTGGCTTAGAGCTGGCACTGGAAGAGGCTGCTGGCTGTGAGAGAGAGAACCTGTGGAGGACCCTACACTACTAGAAGACTCTGAACCTAGGAAAGGAGTAATGAGAAATTGGTTTTACCTGGAGACAGTAACATCAAGCTCACTTTAAAATATACACTTGTAAGTGCTCACCCTGAAAGCTCAGCATTAAGCACATTATTCAACAGCAGCCTTGTCAATGGACTCCCCCTCCATCTCCCCTGGAATACCATTGCAAGGTCCCTTCTGTGAATCAGGGGTCAATTCAGCACTGCTTTGCACTGCAGAGTAAGGCTTTCATGTCTAGCTTGGTTTTCTGGTCAGAAAATGCATATCTGTATCTCCAGAATTCATGGAAGTGATTGGTCATTATGCCAAAATGGACGACTGGATGCACTGAGGGGGTGAATTCCCAGCCCCAGCTCCTGCAGCTGCAGGGCCTCACTGTCCCCGTGGATTTGCCAGCAAAAGCCTCATGCCCTGCACACACAGCCTGCATGCAAGCAAGGACCAGTTTCTTTCCACTGCTGGGGGTCAGATCTTCTCTGACTCACCTGCTGGACAATTTGTAGTACACTAAAACCCTCAACGCTATTTGTTTCCTCCTCTGACAATCTGCAGGCTGAAATCAAGAATACAGCTAGAAAAAATGACATGAGGCTAAGATGGTAGCTTTAGCCTGGCTATATGCAACAATTCAAATTTCAAAGGAGTATGAAATAGCCAATTGAAATCAGGACTCATTTTACAGATATGAATTACTATAAACATTGCAAGGCAGTGGAGAACCAGACCCTGAGGTTCCTTAAAGCCAAGGCAGCTAAAATAAATATTCCAAAAGTCCAGTATGGAGAGGTCTGGGAACTGCTGTTCCCAGGTCACTTGACCTGGAGCTTTAGGTATACAGTTTAACAAAGACTTAAGAAATGTATGATACTTGCAGTACTTGGAAACAGAATATAGTTGTTTAAATTTACAAACTCCTCATTAGCAGCCTCTATACAATCTAGAAGAAAAAGCAAGACTCAAAAAGCACTCTGATGGAATTTATGTACTGCTTGAAGTTACTTTGCAATCCCTTATAAAAGTTGCTAATTGTAACCCTTCAATTTGTGTTTACAAAGAGAGCATAGCTTGAAGCATTGGCCTTATGAAGTGAAATCAAAGCTATTAATTGTAAACTGAGTGAGACAGCACATCCCAGCTCTGTAAAACCATCATTGCCTGAGCAGTTACTTGGATTCATTTCCAAGTGTATTCATTTCTAGATTAGGCAGAGAAATGAGGCTGAAGCCATTATAACCAGAGCCAATTACATCCCTGAACAATGTGAACAAACCCAAGCTCAACATGTGCCAAATCACCACAACCTGGAACTGCATGAAGCAACAACCATTAAGGTGGGCATTCCAAACCTAGAATGTACAAACTCTCAGAATGCCAAAATAAAGTTTCCAGCAAAAATTTTAAGAATCCATTTATGTTCTTGAAATTTAGCCAACTAAGATTTCCAAGAATGTATTTTATTATCAGATTGCAGTTTCTTTTCAAGCTGTGCCAAATAGCATCACTACACTGCTAAATGGAATAACTCCAAATGATGGCACAATTTTACAGCAGAAGTATCTTGAAATGCTTTGGGTTTTTTTATACAAGTATACAATGGACAAACAGAATTTGTTACTGTTTTACTGCATTAAGATATAGCAGTGTGACCATTTACCTAAAAGGTAGTGGTGATCTAAGGAAAAACAAAAAATTTGAAAATAGACCCTCATTAGAATCCAGTTTTATAAATAAAATCAAAACCAATATTAATAAGACAAGCAATTATATTCTGCTTTTTTACAGTTCTGTTTCAAATTCTGTTTCAAAGCAGCCACCAGTAACCCACCCATGTATTACAAGTGTCAAAATTCTCCACAGATTAGCAACTGGATCAAATTATATTGGCATTTGAAATACAAGTACTTACTAAATTTCATTTTTGACCCACAGAAGATTCATTCCCATATTTTCTGAGATTTTGTTTTCACATTAATTACAAGTTAACACCCTGAGACCCTGACTCTCATGAGTACTTTTCCCCAACATTTTTGAATCTTAAAATTAAACTACTCTTTGTTTCACTGGCCTAATTTCTCAGCATCTAAAAATTAAGTAAGCATTTTAGTCATATTCATTTTAATGTAACAAAGGAAAGAACACAAATAGTAACTTTATTTTTATTAATAATTAATTAATTATTAAAGCCAATTTGTAGGCTTTAATGCTGCTGTATCTGAGCTACAGGGATAGCACTGCACAGTTTCCTAAGACCGTGCAATGCAGCTTTGCCCCACTTAGAACTGAAGAGCTGAACTCCAGGTATTTTATACAAAAATATTTCTGGCACAAAACGTTTTCAAACCCTTTGCACGGCATGAAAGGCATTGAACTTCAAGCCATCTACAATGCACTTAAAAGTTCTCCTTCCAAAGCCTGAAGTGTTCACCCGATTTGTCCCGTTCTGGCTCTAGGGCTGGGTGTGGAGCTGTTCCGTGTGTGCAGCCCCTGTATCCCGAGGGAATGGGACGCACGGAGCTCCCCACCGGGACCGCCTGCCTCTCCCTCCCGGCTCGGCCCCCAGAGCCCGCCCCGAGGCTGCCGTACCTGTCTTGGACAGCCTGCCCGTGCTCTTGCTGCTGCCAGAGCTGTCCCCGCGGCTCAGCACCGAGATGCCGCTGAAGCTGCTGGCCTTGGTGACCGCGGGTTTCAGGTTGCGCAGGGAGCTGTCGGAGTCCGTGCTGCTCCAGGGCCGCGGCTCCGTCTCCGTGCTGCTCTGGTGGCTGTTGGCCGATCTCCCCGAGGCCTCCTTATTGATTCTGCAAGTTACAAACTCAACTTTTAGCACAAGCAGCGCTTGCAAAATACAGGAAAAGAAAAAAAAAAAAAGGGAAACAAAAAACAAGAAAGAAAAGGTAAATGCATGCAGAATATTTTGGGTTTTGCTTTTTTAAAAGGAAGCATCAAATACCTAAGTATCTGTCGTCTTTGTTGTGTACTATTAGTTTCTTCCTCCTGGATTCTGTTGACATTTTAATAAGATAGCTTAATATTTATTAAGAAAATAGGAAGACAAAACAGAATTAAACAGCAAGTTTTCTTACCTTTTATCAGTGAAATAATTCTCTTGGGAACACAGGGACTGAGGGGCAAAGAAGTGCAGAAATTAATATGAATGGCATCAAGAACCCCTACTACAAAACACAGAGCAATGTGGAGTCTTCTTCATTATACACAGGTTCTACAGCACTCTCTTTATATTAAGCTGCCTGAAAAACTTTACTTCTTGGTGAATAATTTCTATGAGAAAACAAGACAGTATAAAAAGGCCCGTGTGCAGGAAATCAAAGTCAGCATGAGGATTGTTACAATGCTGCTCTGTAGGTTTCTATTAGACTTTTTCTGAAGTTACAGTTCTTCTCTTGGGCCTTTGGTGCCTTCTGTCACTTGCAGCTGGTGTGTGATTCCCAGAGCTGTCACTGCACCTGAGCTGCCTTGTCTGCTGCTGGGAAGGGTGGAAGGGGAGAGGCCACAGCTGCTGCAGTAACTGCTCAGTGCCCTGGGTACGTCTGGGTATGCTACAGAGCACAGGAACAGAACCAAAAAGGCTGCTCCTGACTCAAATTGTGTTGTCCTTGACTGCGACTCCCAACATCTGGCACGAAGCTTCTAACGGTGTAATACATGGTAAATTAAGATGCAAAAGGAAAATGTAATTTTATATCCAAAAGTCCATTCTTCTTGTTTGTAACTACGGTGGACAAAAAAAAATATTAGCCTCTCAAGAGCTCATTACTCTCTTCAGAATCTGGTTTTTGATGTGCAAGAGTTATCTATAAATGTCAAGTGGATTATTAAAAGTAACACATTTTTAAAGATATATTTCTTCTGTTTTACTCAATATAATCACTACTTGCAATTGAATTGTAGCCTATAATATTGTTCTGCAGGGTATCTCCAGGCAGGAGATCAGACTGTGAGATTCCGGATAGGAATTTCACATATGGAACCTCAAATCATTTTACTCATAATGTGGTTGCTATAGATACAAGCAAGAACAGAGTTGGATTTTTTTTTTTTAATTTGCTTGGATTTTTTTCTTCTAATTATTGCTCTGAGCAACTGAAATGATAGCAGTACCAAAACTCTAACTTAAATTGCAGTGAGGGGTGAAACAATGCAAAGGGGGGAAACACATTGATCTAGGTAATGCTAGAGAACACTGCTTAATTCTTGGGCTGTTTGAGTTTCATACAGCAGTGATTAGAGAAAACAGAAGATTTCTCAGTAACTGCAATATCATTTAAAACTCACTCAGGCCACACTCTCTTATCTGCTCAGTGTCATTCAGAAACAAAGTTTCCTGGAAAGCCACCTGTGCATGTACGTGTCTGAAGGGTTCATAGAAAACAGTGCCAGGTTGGTTTTGATACGTACATCTTGTGCAAATATCCTTTCTCTAGCTCTCTGATATTCTTCTTCACGTTCTTCTATGGATTTACTTCTTCTGTCATCTTTTAATCGTATTCTCATCTAAATTAAGTGGTACAGTGTCAATTTACACAGGAAAACAGGAAGAATGCACAAACACAGCAAGTGGAAGGAATAAGCCACATGTGCTTTACCTGGTTGTCATCTTTATCTAAACTAGAGTTATCTCTCTTAAGGATGTACCGCTTCTGGAAGTCATCACTCTTCTCATCCTTTATATGCTCACAAAACTTTTGGTCAGGTCTGAGAAAAGTTGTTACAAAGAAAACATTTGTTTTGTAAACATACTGTACACACAGTGGAACAAACTGGAATATATTCAAGAGTAATTTGAAATATACTTAATATTCTAATTGAAATAATAGATTTTGGCTGCCTCAGCAATGGAAAAGATGAGGTGCACCCCGGAGAATTCCTGTCCTGAGGCATAACAAACCTGCCTTTAAAAACCTCTTCTTCCTTCAAAGCTTCTGCTGCAACTCTCAATTAATGTGGGAAGCAAACCACATGCCCTTGGGGAATCAGAAGTGCTTTTCAGTCCCAACTGGTGCCATGCAATGGATATTGGGCATGCATGGAAGTGAAGACAGGTGTTTGCCACTAGAGCCGCAATACCTCCGAGTTCATTTCAAGGGAAAACAGAAGAAAGAAGGTAGAGGAGAAAGCACTGAGAGAAGAACAGTATAATGCAGGCAAGCAAGAGCTTTACACAGTCATAGGGAGAGAGTGAAACAACGGATTATAGATATTGCTTTGGTATTTTATCTACTTTGTGAAAGAAAAAGTGCTATTTTGCAAATCCTTATTATTAAGGAGAGATATCAAGTACCTGAATAATAAAACTACTGCTATCGTAAGAGAAGAGCTCAGACAATCAGGAAATACTTATCTAATAGAGGACAGAATAAATGTATGCTCTTCTCTATTGTTATTTATCATTACCTAAGACTTCTGGATGGAGTCAGGGGAGCTTTTTCTATGGAACAGCCAGCACTGCCTATTGGGTACTGGATGCCCAAACATAATTAGCAGGCATTTCAGAGAACCTTTAGACTGTCTTACCTCTTTCTTTTAAAGGTCTCTGAATTTACTGCCCTGCAATCACCAACTCCCACTCCACTGAGACGTGCCAGTGTGCACTGGGTGGTTGATGTCAGCAACATCCCTGCTCGGCGAGGGAGCCGCGAACCTGCCTATGAGGAAAAGGTAAGTTTGGCTTTATTCCACATGGAGCAGATCTCCAAGGTTTTCTTTCTAAATTCTTATTTTATATCCAAAGAGATTTAAAATAAGAATATTGAAAACATCAAGAATCGTTATGTCTGCAGGTTAGATGAAATGCCTGCTAATTAGTAACTATACCTACAGGGGCTTCCAGAGGTCACAAGCTATTCAAATATGGTCTAAAAATTTTTTAAAAGCATAAAAATGAAATAATCTTTTATCCATTCTCATTCCACAGCTGAAGTGCTAGACTGAAGCTTTAGTCTAGAGATGCTGGTAGATGCAAAGGCAACAGATTTGAAATGTTTGGCTTTCTAGGTCAATTTAGATATAGATTGTACAGCCAAAGCAAAAATGCATACAGAAATAATACAAGTATTCAACATACACTTAGGGCCTATATATATTTCTAAAACTTCTGAGGAGAAACTGTTTACTTAAGTGAAATTTCAGTGTGGCATATCCTTTCAGTCCTACTGACGTTAAAATAGGGTGGATAATTAGATTTTTTTTCTCCCAAAGCTATAAAGAGTGTACCTAGACACTGAGATTAGGATGCAGGCACTGTAATCTCCTGTCTTCATGTTCAAGATCAACAAAAAACGGTGTCAGGCAAATGCTCTAAGTTAAAACTAGAAACTAGGTGGCATAAATATGTCAACACATTAGACCTTTGTCTTTTTGAGAGAGAATGAGCAGACAGAGCAAGTGCAGAGGATGGAGAGAACAGCTGGGTCCCTTGAATGAAAACCTCAATTCCACACAGGTTTCAGAGTTGCTGTGGCCCCAAGTGCTACCCTCTTGGCAATATGGATTTTCCTGGGGGTTTCTCCAAGAACTCCCCAGCCCTCACAGTAAAGCAGCACACCATGGCTTGTTAACCTGGTTGACATTTCCACTGTTGTCTGTCTTCCCTGCTGTGTTTATTTGTAAGGCCATGAGAGATCTGTAAGCAACATTATTCCAACAGAAGAACTTCAACAGCTGATTTTTCCCTGTAGAATTTTACAATACAAAAGCCACAGTTGTGCAAGTCCCCTCCCTTCACCAAATCAGAAATGACCTCGTTCTAAGATAAGAGCTGGCTCTGCTATCCAAAAGAAACAAAGAATGCACTTTGTACACTTCACTGGTGTAAATCTTTAAACAAATAAGCAGTTGCTATAAATTCATATTTCACAGAAACAAAATTAGCAATGCATCTCTGCCAGAAAAGTAAAAAAAAATTCTTAACTTAGAGATAACATCCTTCTTTCCCCAAAATAATTCAATCATGAAGCAGCAAGAACATGAACAGTAAAGAGCTCTCAACCACCTCTTCTTGATGCCTGCTCCCAGTGAGACAGGCCTCACCTGCTACAGCCTCACAGATCCCAGGCATTAGAGCTACACATCAAAAGGGTTTTTCAAGGCTTTGACACTTACATTCTTGTATTGCTAGTTTTATTTACTATGACTGACTTCCCACTCTGGTCCACGTTGTGCTCTAATCCAAAGTAAGCAGCTACCCTGTGCAACAGCATTCTATGGTAAGATGTCATTGGGGGAAACTTTTTTCTTGGTACTCTGGAAGAAAGGAATAGTAGCTTTATTAAATAAACAGGAACACTCTTGAATTCTTTTTTCCTATGAGAGTACAGTACTTACTCATTATTACCAATGAAATCTAAAATTTCCTGTTCTAATTTCAGCAGCATCATTCTGTCCCTGAAAATAAAAACACATCAACTCACATATGAGACACTCCAATAACTGCAGTTGTATTCATCTTAAGAATACACAGATCAGAGCTGTGATCAAGGGATGATGGCAGACTGGAAATAGGACCAGCAGGTGTCAAATGCAGAATTTTTAGGACAAAGTATTCTTTTTTTGCTATTTTGTATTGAGCCTGCCTAGTAAAACATGCTGTTTTGCTCTCACATATCAGAGTACACAGATCCTGCAAGAAGTTCCTGCCCAGGAGGCTCAGCAGGAAGTGCAGTCATGGAGAAGACAGGCTCCAGGAGGGAAAGCAGTGCTGAGGTTGTTCCTTGTTGGTTGGTGTGGGCAGGGAGATGTGCAGAGGCCTCAGCTGGCCCTTGGATTGTGAAGCACATCAGAGGATCACTGAGAAAGTGATGGGGCACATCACCAACAACCAAGGGCTTAAAGCTGGCACATGTGGCAACGTGCTGACATATTAGAAATACAAAAAAGCTAAAACTCAAGGTGGTAGAAAGGAACACTGTTCTTGAAACTGCTTGCACTGGTTCTAATTAACTATTTAGATGCAACAAAATCCAATAATGCAGAGTTCATAATCTGTGCACATCAAGTAACTAAGCTTCCCAGTTACTGTGCATGGAAACCCCTGGAGATCTTCATCCACAATTCCTTGGTTCATGGCTTCAAACAGGAACCACCTACTAAGAGTCTCAGAGGTCTGTGCTTTCTAATTTTACTCTATAGGACTGTGGCTTTGGCTGCATTATGACTCATGTCACATTTTTTCTGAATAAAATGGAATCCAAATAAATTATCAAATTGGAAGTCCTACCTATAATATGAATGAGTAACAAATAGCAGTGAATCAGCTTTTGTGGCAGAGCACAATTGTACCAAGTTAATTTTTTGCCTTGTACTACAGCCACAAAGCCAGCACAAAACCCCAGTGAGGGAAAGAACAAGAATGACAGAGCAACAGAACCAGGTCAGCTCTGTTGCTAACAAATGATGGACTCAGATTAGGTCAGACTTGGTTTCTGGTGTGCAGAATGAGAATCTCTAACTACAGTTAAATATGGTACAGCTTTAAAAAATGCCTTTATCAATAAATTCAGTGGAAGACAGATGAGAGTCAGAGAAGGCAGTTTGGTCTCTAACAAGCAGGTGCTAAGACAGTACAAGGTTTACAGACAATGTACTGAAGCCCCTTCAGGGAGAGAATTGCACATAGACTGAACACATCATTTGCATATTACGCATTAAAAGTATTTAAACCACTTCAATGTCCTGAGCCCCTGCTCAAAAAGCAAACCAATTACAGTGGTGTTTTAGACAGTCTGTGCAACAGAATCTCACCCTGAATAACTGACATGGAGGGTTAGACATATAAGGGGGGAAAAAATAAAACCACAAACAGAAAAACAGGTAGTGTGACACCTCAGGCAACAAGAAGAAAGAAAAGCATAAAGGAAGTTGACATTATTGATTCTTACCTGGGATTGTTTTTTAATGTATTTACTAAAAATTCATGAAGATCTATACCAGTGGAATCTGTATACTCCTGGCTGGAATCTAAGGGTGAGGGGGAAGAGAACAAAATTACACTCTGAAGAAGCTGTTTTTCAATTATTGCTGAACACACTATATATGATTGATACTATATAACCATTAAGTACATTATTGCCAACATTAAATCCTTCCAATTTCCAGGAAAGAGGCCCACAAGTCAAAAACAGAACAGAAAACCCATCACCACCCACTATCCCCTAATTCAAGGCTAATACAGAAGTTTCAGTAACACCACTATTAACAACTGGCTGTATGTCGTGAAGCAGGTAATCACCTTGAGAGACCTGATTTCCATCAGCCTGCCACATTTTCTCACTATCCCATATTGTAGTGTGTGTACCCACCTGTGAAGCACCAGCAGCCTATCTACTCAGCTACTGGATGTTGCCCAAAGAAATTTTGTAATTCAGAATGCAACAGTTTAACCTTCACAAGGTGGTGCTTTGCATTACCAAAAATCCTTGCTCTGCTGGCCTTTGTATGCTCAACATAATGTTCAGGTGCTTTCAAAAAGAAGTCTCAACCTTTCCCCTCCTTTCTGATTTCAGTGAAAGAAAGTATTCAGTTACATACCAGCCCCTAAAATCTATCCCTGAAAGGAATGATTTAACCCCATATCTTCCCTTACATGAGCACCTTCAGGTTACAGGTACTAGGATTCAAACCAACAGGTATTGGAACAGTATTTTTAGAATTAGAACTACTTACTCCAAGAACTACTTATATGCTAGCTTAGTCTCAACTTAGTTAGGCACAACTCAAACTTATGGCCAGGTCCCAGCTCTTCCAGCTGCCCAGAGTTTAAACGAAGCCAAGCAAGTCTGAGCATTTATGGCTTGGAATTATTTTCAATTCTGAACAGGAGAAGGCAAAAAAAGACTCTCCTTGGTAAAACCGTCAAGATTCAATAATTATTTACTTCAATTTTTCTAATTTGCAAGTTAGCAATGATTTAGTTATAATTACTAGAACTGATGCTAAAATTCCATAATTTTCTATTTTGGCACATCCTATATTGGGAAGTAATTAACCTTCAGAGGAGAGAGAGTGGTTGAATTCAGAACAGCCACCTCTACCACAGGTATTTTGTCACTCACTCTCAACCCCCCATCGTTACCTGTAGGGTATTTGGGGGTGGTATTTAAGACATCATTTCAAAGACAGAGATTCATAAATGCAGGTTAAGTTCTCCATCCCAGTGCTTTTTATTTCACAAATACCTGGCTGCCAGCTGGAACAAGCTGCACTGAAATTCCACACGAGGAATGCCTTATGGAATTGCAGGACATGAGATGGACAAGTGCTACTTGTCTCAAAAAGAACTCCAGCTCTAAAGGTATTTCCTATATTCTGTCTGATCTAAGATATTTAGGTAAACATTCTGGGTATTTAAAGCAAGAGCTGTAAAATTATTTGCCAACTTAAATGCATAAAGTCTTCTACCTGTAGGAGGTATTAGGCAGCATGGACAAAAACTGGTTTATGTCACTGGTTTCACAGTTCTCTTTCAGATTAAAACCAAAGATTTTCAGCATATAGACTTTAACTTTAAACCAGAATGCAGGAACATTTAAGTGAAAATATAATACTTGTCCTTTTCATTTATGTAGTTCTACTCTTACTCCAAAACTTTACTGAAAAATTCTAGATACTACCAAAAGTAAAATAAACAAAGGAACACTGACGCCTGTTGAATGAGGATCAGAAAAAGTACAAAGGGAGCTGTGCCACTGTCACTTCAGTTTCACAACTCCTGTAACAACAAAACCCAGGAACACGACAGGGGCTTCCACTGACTCGTAGAGACAGCTTAAAGAACACTTGGACACAACTGAGACAACACAGCTGCTTTTTAATGCTGCTCTGCACAGTCAGGACAGAAAGAAAAAGCATTTGCTGCAGTGTTTGATGAAGTCTCTAAAGCTCCCTTTCCTCAGGGACCAATTCCTTCTCCAGTTCAAAGGCACCTGATCGATGTGCTTCATTTGCAAAAAAAATTTTTAAAAAGAATGCAATGTTTATGCAATGAAGACCTGGAAGCAGAACTGTATTTTCATATGTTCTTTATCTGTACAGTATATTGAAAAGCACAAGGAGAGAGAGCAAACCTCTTGATAACATTTTTCTGGACAGTTTATCACTGGATTTTTCCTTTTCTGATTCATCTTTCGCAGGTTTTTCTTCTTTTTCAAAAGACTGTGACAACTGGATCTGAATCTTCTCCTGTCAAAAAGTAAAAATCAGTCACCACACAGATTATTTCAAACAATACCTGCAGGAGAACTGTTCAGTACTATATTACCTGCAAAATAATGAGGCAACAACAACAAAAAAATTGTTTAAATATTTTGATTCCACATGTGTTCCATGTGACCACACAACAAAATTATTTATCAGTAAATCAGAAAGTACAGAGAAGGCATGTAAAGGACCACAGGTATTTTAGAATTTACACACACTTCCAGGCCCTGAATGCCATTGCAAAATGACTTCAAAGTATCTTACTCCATACAGGTAAGAAAATACTCCAGTTTTTCAGATGTATAAATTTTACACTGTCTCTATATTTTTAAGTCATGTCTCATCCACCATGCTTTTTTCCTCCCCATTCTTCACAGTTCTTTACTGTAAAATCTTGTTTCAAGTCTTGATTTCGTTCATACCAAGAAAAAACAAAACAAAAATTTCTAAGACAGACCAGAATTTCCAGATCCACAAAAAAGGGGAAATATTTACCGTACAATATATCAAGGCAAAGTTTGCAGACCTGTCATCAAGGCTTAGTTTCATAACTTCCTGTGTATTTTGATAGACTAGCTTTGTGTGCAACCACCTCAAAATCCGTAGTTTTATACCAGTAGGTGAACTATTATAAAACCTGTTTCTCAAATACAGCAAGCAGTTTCCCTCTGATATTAGTGACATAATGGCCCCCTAAATACCCTGAACAGTGCAAGACTGCAGTTTGTTTTTCATGTCCCTTTACTGTTTCAGGAGGTTGTCAGTGGAGGACCAACACATTTCAGACAGCCAGAGCCGAGGAGTTCAGGAGCAGTGGAGTCACCGTGCCTGAGGGACTCCCATGGGAGCAGGGGCCAAGTCCTATCAGAATCAGACTCTTCTGTCATCTTTTACCTCCCTCAATGTCAGTTCTGCTCCCCCAGATGCCAACTGAGTCCGTGTTGTCCCCTCCACATTCCTGAGAACATCTAATCCTTCCAAATCCAGAGAACTGCCCCTCATGCACTCCTGCCTATCCCTCGTGCCCTGCACCTTGCTCCTTTCCCACACAAGTCCTCACTCTTCCCTCAAACCCATTCTTACCCATATCCAGGCTCTTGTGCTAAGCTCTGCTCTTGTGTCACTGCACAGCCCTGATCTCACCCGTGGAATGCAGCCAGAGTTAAATTTAGCCAGGATCCACCAGGCTGGAGCCTGCTCACGTGCCCAGCCCGCAGCCACTCCTGCCTGTGCTGGTGGAGCACAGTGGGAGCCCTGCAGCACCCAGGCTTGGCTCCAACAGCACTTCCCATCTGCAGCTTTGGGGCAACAGCTTTTTCAAATGAGGGAAAAACAGTCAGAGTTTTACCAGCTCTCCCTTTCCTGATGACTCTTCCCCACACTAAATATTTCAATTAGACTTCCTAATTCATGAACACCCTCTAAACAGCATCTCAGTGTGAATGAAGACTTCTCAGCTTTGGACAGGATCTATAACCACATCTGATAAATACCATCTCCAGCAAGGAACTCTCTCATCAGATTCTTTCCTAGTCTTGAGAATTCACTTCACTACAAACCTTAAGGAGTCCAGAACAAGTCTCTGCATTCCTTGCCTCAGACTTTTGTGCAATTCAAATGAACAATTTATTTGTCACTACAAAATGCACTACCACTCACCAATTAGCTATTCAACCTTTTTTTGAGAAAGAAATGTTTCCGTCCTACTACAAAATTATTCCTGGCTTGGATTTACCAATGTGCTATCCTCCATTTTACAATAACACTCTACAAAACTATCAGTAAATTCAGGAAATTTTCATAGTCTGAAGTTTCTCCACTAGAAAAGTGACTGCAACTTCTGAACTCATTCCAAGTAATGCATACAGCAACAGTTTAGTCAAAGGATCTCAGCAAGCAATCATTTTCATACTTCCTTCCCCAACAAGAGCTAAAAAAAGGAATCACCATCTGAACAGCTACTACCACCAGCTCTACTTCAAAGTGTGATACACCAGAACTGGGTACCAAAGGGCATTTTCTTGTGATTTCATGCTATAAAAATTGTAGCATCTAATTAAATACGACCTACTTGACTGGAAAGCTGCTGAAAAATCTTTTAACTTTACTTTCCCTATAAAACTCGCCTAATTCCACCCTGTTTGCAGCAGGTCTCTGCTGGCATTTGGATTGAACAGACTTCTCGCCCTAACTCTGATCAGCCAAGCTAAGCCCTCATTGCAGAAGAGGAAATTGTCACCAAATTTTGATTAAACAAGAAAAAGTCAAACAAACAGGAAAATACCCCCGACCATCAAAAACTGATAAATCCTGCCAGCTTAACACATTTGAAGAAAAGGTAAGAATATTTCTCGAAGGCCTTCGTGCTGAAGCTGGGCTTTTTACCAGAAAAAACAACATGAGTCAATAGAAATTAACATTACAGCCCCTTGCCTTCTCTTCCCACTCCCTCCCCATCGGGAAAGTTCAATCTTTTGAAGGTTTATTTACTTGTTACTCATAATAACAACTGTCATTCACATGAAAACAGCTCTTCCTTAAAAAGGGCTGAACTGGATCACCCTTTGCTAGAGTGCTTGTACTTTGTATTGGAGCATAGAGTCAGAACAACCTGACGTTTACACAAATGATGGCAAGAGAATATACAGTTAGTGTTATAAAGATAAAAGATCAAACATATCACAGTTATGGTCTTCCTCTCACAAACTTCTAGGCTCATACTTTCACAGCACCTTTTAGTAAAGGGCTGCCAGTGCTTTTTAACAAGGCTTTAAAATATGCAAGGCTCTTATCTAAGTTTCTCAGGAAGAAGCAGTATCTTGCTTCATGTTGCAATTGAAAATAGAAACATAGATCAGAAAATAAATTTATTTGCTTGAAACAATTTCTTTGGTCTGTCACCCTCTTCCATCACAGCCTTCTGAGGAGAAGCAGCCAATGGTGCATTGCTAAGTGCCTCCTGCACCAACCTGTGTTCACCCTGCTGGAGCTGCTGGTGTAAAGGGGTGACTGATGAACAGTCACAGACAAGACCATGGAGTTATCCCCAAACTCACACCACTCTAGTTTAGTGCATATCTTTTTCATCCTATCAAGGCTAACATTTTCTAATAATTGGAAATTGTGGCTCTTCAAATATCACCAGCAACATTATCCTGAATTTAATTTGTCCTGTGTCTTAAAATCCATATTGGGTATTAACACTAAACTGGCAGCTGCTTTTTTAGTTGCAATCACAGAAAAAACAGAGCAGTGACTCTTCCAGGAAGGAGAAGTGTCAGAGGTGATTCCCCTGCTGCCAAGACACCTGTGCAAGGCAAGCTCTTCCTTCTCTGAGTTACTGGACCTCCCACACATCACAGGCACAATTAATGCTTCTGAGTATGGAGCTGGAAGCATATTAGTCCCAATGGCAGCAGCTGACTGGCAGTTATGAAGAGCTCTTCCATGCTTTCCCACATATAGTTTGGGAAAGGAGGCAAAACGGGTGAAGAAATTGCCCGTGTAAGTGGTTACAGAGGGTCATGGGAGACCTGTGCCCCACAGGATGTGCACTCCAGCATCAGAACTTGTAACAGATTCCCACTTCTAACTCTGCAACACATTTCTCCACCCTCCAGAGAAGAACTAAATTTGTACTCGCAATCATTTCTCTGCACAGCTACTGGGATTCATAAGCCATTTCTTCTACATAACTGCTTCCAAAGAAAACTCACAGCTAGCTCTAATTTTGTTCTTAAGGCAATCTGCTTTTGGTATTCCTTTTGTACAAACTTACATTATCACACAATTCAATTCATTCTGCAGAAGCAGCCTTGACATCCCTCCTGCTGCTGCAAGGACTTTTTTCAAGAGCCACCTGGCAGCACAGAGCTAGGGACAGATTCCCAGAGGACTTGGCCACAAATGCCACCTTATAAATGTCTAACTTTAAACCATTCAACACATGGTCTTGTGTAGTGCTGGAGGTTGGAAAATCCTAATGCCTCATGTTGGAAACATACCATGGATGATCAGTCCACCAAATCAGGCTTCTGTCTTGTAATTCACTACCGTGACTGAGAAAGTTAAACCCCACTGCTTCAGACTGAACAACTCAGCCTGACCAGATCTCTCAGTCTATTTTGTTATCTTATGGGAAGCATTACAAAAGAACTGTAAATCATAGTAAACATCAATAGCTCTTCTGTTGGCTTTTAATCCTTTACTCTGCAACCTATTTCAAACTATGACTTAGATTTTCATCATGGTAGCAGGCCCAGTTTCTGAATTCCTCTAGTCAACACTTCAAATTCTGGTATATTAGTCAAAGCCTACAAAAACACTATTTTCTTATTTTTCCAAAGGAATAAAAACCCCCCAACCTCAAAAGATTTTAATTAGCTTGACAAAAACCTACATGAGCTCTCAATGTCCATCTTTCCTCAGAACTGGATTATCACCTCTCCAGCAAAACCCCCTCACACCCTGCTTTCTACTGCTTCTTTCTTAACCAAAGTGAGACTTTTCACAAAAGCACAGTTTAGAAGCTTTTCAAGAACAGCAAGGGCCCATTTCTGTTTTGATAGGCATGAACAAAACCAGCATTTGGATGGCCCTCACTCATGCACAGAACTAACAGTCAGCAGTAGGGTTTTGCTCTGAAAATACAGACTGGTACAGGAGTAAAGTCAGGAAACTTGGATTTTGTGTGAATTCTCTAAAGTAATTTTACATATTTTGTTCACCATGTAGGAACTTCTGTAAAGTGTGTTCTATAATTTTAATAGATTAACTCAGACATACCTCAGGCAGGTATCACAGAGCTACCAGCAATTGGGACTAATATGCAGGAATTCAGTTACAACTCCAGAAATTACAACTCTTTCCACTTTCAAAATATACAAAGCCAATAAATTAGGCTTCATACTAATCACAATGTTTCTGTCTTACTGATTGCAGACAGCACTTAAGCAGTTCAAGAGTCCCTCAGGTGTACTGTTGGACTAAAAAGTTAAAAGAACTGACAAGCACCCCCCTTCTGTCCACAGATATCAACTAATATAGTTCAGAAATACAAAGCAGCAAATTCTGCACCTGATATTATCACCTCTATTAGATCAGTATTAAAAAAAATTAAAACCATATGGTGCCCACATATTTAAAGAATACCCAACAGATTTTCTTTTGAACAATGAGTTACTTGAAATTGTTCCAGAAACTTCAGTAAGGTGATTTTTACCTGGAGGTCCTGTGATATTTCAGCTGTGGGAGGTGGTGGATATTCTTCACATACAGCAAGGCTCCGAACTAACTTTAACTTTGTGTTTGACTAAAGGAAAGTATGTAAGATTAAAATCTATGGCTTATAAAAGATAATATAAATATACCATAAGCCGTTTTATTTCATTCATTATATGAAACACAAAATGGCTGAAAACTGCATTTTTAATGTTTTCAATGGAATAAATAATTCCCTTTAGGATGAAAATACCCAAGCAATTGCAGCTTTTGAAGGCACTACCAGCACAATAGAGCACATCTAAAGAAAAGTAAATAAAATGTTGGGAAAGTGTTTCTCTCCGTAACAATAAGAAGCCACCAAAAATATAAAGGCAAATCACAAAAGCAGACAACTAGGCAAGACAAAAACCCAACAGAATAAAACAAAGCTACAATGCCAAAAAATAAAACTAAAGGCACTTTCCACAAAGTAACAAAGCTGCACCAAGCATGAAGGGCTCCCTCCGCATGCCAAGGGCTACTGTACCTTGGACCTTTTGGCCGTCTGTCCAAAGGACTGCGCTGGCCGCTGGCAACAGGCACAACAGAGAAGGGTTACATTAACTCAGTGGCACAAGCTTGTTAATGCAAAAGTCTGTACAAGAGAAAGCTTTGACAGTTAGCACTGACACGGGCAGATCTGTGAAAGGAACAGCAGATGCTTTGGGCTGACGGATTCAGAGCTCTCCCACTTTGATCGAGCTTGTCCTTGATTTCCCTTCTTCATTTATCAACAATAGATACCAGAGCACTTTTACAGGAACCAAATATTATCCTTGTTCAGTGGCATCCAAGCAGGTTACTCTCTCAGCCAGCTCCTACACTTTCAATTCTTGTTTCCTAATCTCCTTGGCAACATGACATGGTTGGTATAAATTTTCTTCCTATTCCTGAAACCTACCTGGAAAAATGATATTAAAAAAAGGAAAGCATTGCCTCTACCAAGGGAACAGATAACAGATGATGGATGACCTATCATAAGAAGCTTAAAACACACGAGTTTTTTTCTTTCATCCTGGGACCTATACAAGTATATTTTAAAATGGGCTACTGATCCTTTTTTGGTTTCATTTAGAAATTTACTATGAATCAATATGCTTTTTCTCCTCCCAGAGCCATTTTAGTAACTTATTATGCAATAATTTGCTTTTTCCTCCCAAAGCCCTTATTCTTTTACAATTGCTCCTTAAAAAAAAATTACCAGGCTTTTACTACAGTAAGCACAGCTGAAAGGTACATTTAAATCAACAAAAGCATTTAATGATTTGTTAACTGCATAGTTAAAACTAACTCAACCCTCAGTGCCAGTAGCACAAGAATAGAAACATTTAGAGTGGCATCATGTAATTTAAGTACTGGTTTCCCTGGAGAACTAAAACTGATGAATAGACAAGCTTTTAACAGAACTGGTTTTAGTGAGCACAGGCCTAATATTTGTAAGGAGAAATTAACATCAGTAATGCAATTTCAAAAGTTGTTTAATAGACAATATTTCCTCCTTTAAAAAGGAAACTGGACAGAAACTCCACTGGAAAACTCCTAAATGCAGCTCTCCTCACCTTAGCTCACAGGAGATGTCTATTATGTGCCTGAACTTCTTAGCAGGACACACAGCATCGCTAGAAAGAAACCTCACCTACAGCAAAGAGCTCTACCATGTAAAGGCAGAACTGCTTTTTCTCTCCTTTTCCTCAAATCCCACATGTCTATTTTGGATGTTGCACCAGCTTAGCTAAGGAACAGCAGAAGGGGAGCTCATTTAAGCTCATTTCACTATGTAACAGAATTTTAAATAGCTGCACTGAAAACTAACTGAACTCACCACCAGCTTTTTAATGGAAGCTTGCTGAGATTTTGAGCAGCAAAGACAGTTCAGTTCAAATGCTTCCATACCTGGAACCATTCAGACTCTGAATTTTGCCGTTTCCACACCTGGAACCACACAGAGACTGAGTTTTTCTGTTACGTGCAAAATATGTTTTCCTTTCCATCATCCCCTCTGAAAGTGTTCCTTGCATTCTGAAAGCTGGCACTGCATGTCCCTGACAAAGTTTGTTACACCAAGCTACTGAATTTCAAAAACTGGATGATTTCCCAAGCTCCTATCAATTACTCAATCAGCTCAGATATGTTCAAATCAAGTAGTGCAAATTTAAAGTCACATCAGAACTGTCAGCGGAGTCCTCAGTTCACTGTCAAGAGGCAAAAGAATCTGTACTCAGGCAACTGTTTATCTTCTGCAAAATTTTGCAAGCTTTGAAGCCAGTACATAAGTCAAAAGACTATATGGAAGCAAACACTCCAGATCCAGATTTGATAGGGCACAAGAGGGAATTCAATCCAGTTATACATCAAGCTACTGCTCACTAATTAGGTAAATCACACATGTTTCAGTTATTTTTAAGAGTCATTTGAAAAAAAAATTATTTGCTGGGGCTAAATACCAACAATATTGGAGAAAGCTGGGGGGTCACTGTAGGAGGGAGGTTTTTCCTCACAGATGAGACAAGTACAACTCCACCCATCATATTCAAATTTCTCATCTAGAAACAACTGCCCTGCCCAACACTCCTGTAATAAGTGTGGACTTCTGGCTTTCCTGTGTGACTTCAGGGATGTCAAAACACAAAATCTCAGCCCCTGAAACCCAGCTGTGACTGTGAGCAGTAAACACCACACACACATCAGACAAGAAGCACTGGAATAAAACTGGTAGGGCCAGACTGCAGGGACAGCTCAGGTGAGCACAGCCCAATGGTGCAAGGTCTGGCCTGGAAGTACAAACCCCAAAGTCCTCTGACACCACCAGCAACTGCACTCTCAGAGCTTGAAGATGGGTGGGTACAATTCAATGATTCCTTTCTGGGACAAAACCACACTGACAGAGGAATGACTTCCACTGGAATTCCAGGACAGTAGGTGGCCAATGCACATTGTAGCTGTTAATGCACATTTTCTCTCTTTTCAGGCCAATGAATTTGATCTCTGTCCTAATTTCTCTGCATTTACTAAGTTTTGCTCCTACAGAACATCTTTATGTTCCCCATTTGTGAAAAAGAATTTCTAGCTAATTTAGAATATGCAATCCTTAGTGAGTGCAAATTAGGCAATTTCTTTATATTTGCAGCTCTCAAAGACTTTTACTGCCTTAAGAAAACACTGTGTTAATGAAAGCCCTATTTATAGCCATTATGGGCAGGATTTCAAAACAGCAAGTATTCCAAATAATTGCATAACGAAAATAATGATTAGGTTCTTGCCTTTGATAAAACCCCACCAACACAACGTTTAAGACCTACAACTACTATGCTACATTTCCAACGGCAAAATAAAAAGGGAGGTAAGATAGCATTTATCAAAAACATATAAATAACCAGGTTTTCAGTAGGAGTATTTGCCTACTTTATTTTTTGCAAAGTACCTCACTAGATCACAGATACTAAATGCAAAGTAAAGATCTGGAGCTGTTACATGCCTTCCCCTATCATCACCACGCTGTCTAAACAAGCTGGATAAAAACAGGTCAGGCACAAGATGGCAAACTCAGACGTGTGAAAGGTTTTGTGAGAAGGGGCTCTATTTCTGAAGTACCATTTGGGCATTTCTGAGGATATGCACAACATGACAAACCTGAACAAAGAGTGTTCTAAGGACATTCAGTTTTTTTCCTTTCTGCTAAATTATGTCTCAATTTTAAATCTAGTCAAGTGCTGCAGTCCCAAGAACCATGGATAGCTTAGTAATGCTGAGGGAAAGAACAGTGTGGTCCATGGTTACTTGCTGTCCTGCATTAGTGAGCAGTGACAGCAATTTTCCATGATACAGAAGAGGATGACTGATGGAAAAATAGTTTCACCCTTGGACATGGAGGCAGCTCAAGAATAAGACAATCTGCCCAATTATTTATCTATTCAAAAGTATTACATCACATACTTTAGAGACAAAGGTAAATCTGGACAAGATCAAAACAGCTGGGGAGGAGGCAAAGAAAGGCTTCAGAGAACTTCAGCTGTGAAACAGAGAAAAGCTCAAGGTTTGTGCCAGTATGGAAGGAAGATACTTGTAGGAAGAGAGATGCCAAGTAGCTAAGTAAAGAAATTATATAATTGCCCCAAAGGACAAGGATATCCTCTTAATTAGCATAAAACAAAATCAGAATTATACTCAATACAACATTTGCCTTGCTTTTATCATACAGTAGATGCATACAACCCTGCACTCATGCCATGAGGCTTCTCTGGGTTTTAAAAAAGAAGTCTTCCTAATAATAAACATAAAGGACTATCTTACAGGATAAATCCAGGATCTTTAATTTGTAGTCAGTATTTCCTGCAGCTTTGTCCTTGCAGTGGATGACATCACCTGTCTCACCACTCAGAGGAAACACAGACCCTGTATTCCAGCTAAGTCTGAATTCATTTGTTGTCACCTGGCCTGGACAAAATGAACAGGTGGGAGACAGCAGTGACTGGTGAAACAAAACCCTTTTGATCACAAACCCTACCATAGTGCTGAGGTGCACATGACTTCTGTGAAAGTACTTTACATAACTGTGCCTCTTGTCTCCAGTGCCATTTAAACAACACTTGAAACTCACTGCAAATATTCCAGTTTAGAAATGTTCTCTGCATCTATAACACTACTTTTGCACTGATTAAAGAAATTGAGATTGCTGGCCATGTACTCTAATTAGGTATTTTCCTCATTCACATTGTATCTCCAACAGCAGACAATCAGTTATTAATGCACAACTTACAAATAATCTGGAATTTACAATCACAGTTACATTTCAAAATATAACCATCAGTTTCTTAATTGTGCAGTTCCAGAAACATGCCTCAATTCAATCCATGTCAAGTTTAGACAGAGGAAAAATCATTTCCTGTTTCTTCCTTGGAGAAGTCAAAAGTGAAGTGATAACTGTAGTGAGGAACGTCACTGCAGTTTGTCAGTAGGCACCAAACCTATTCTGCCACCAGGGAGGAGAGCCCAACTCATCCTCTGATGCATTCAGTTAATAAACAAACACAAGTACACAACAAATTCCAGGAAGTTTCTGATAATCTTTTCTAACGTTTCTCAGCAAATTCTTTGCTCTTTTTCCCACCACCACAGTAACATTTAACCTGCACTTAATGACAAGTACTATGTCCACTGAAATGTCATCAAACTGTTTAACCATCCATTAGTTAAAACCTTGCTGACTACTACTGTTCTACAAGGGTTTTTTTACTGTGGACAACCCCAAATTTTTGTTTTGTATTTTAACATAAAACATGCTCTAAATGAGAAATCTTCAAATATAAGACATATATTTGCACTGGCAGCCTCCACAGTACAAGTGACATTAACTTTTGCTGATTTCAGTTGTTGCAAGGGGCTTGCTCACAGCAGCCAGGTTCCATTTGGTAAGTGTCTGTCTTCCTGTCACTCTGGAAGTCTGCATCCTCAGCCTCAGTTTTTAATTAAACTGCTCATGTAACAGCAATGTTCTGATGCTGATGGATACTCCTGGACACCACTCTGGCAGCAGAGCTGTTTCTATCCAACAGCCTTCCCTAGGCAGTGTCCAGTTCATTTGGTGGATGTGAGATAATAATTTCAGCCACCAGCTCCTGAAAAAGCACCCAACAATGAGCCCCCTGCCAACCCACAGCCTCTGGCAGCACTGGCAGGTTCCTTCCTCTGCACTCCGATGAGACAGCAGCAGTTGTTTGCAGGAAGGCTTATTTCTTATTTGCCACTTGAGTCTCATAGACATTTCCACACTAAAATTTGTTAAATGAGAAAATGTGAATGAGATTTTTTCCAAATTACTGAACTGTATGAAAATAACTAAACCATAGTTGAATTTTTAAGGCTCACTACTAGAATATTGCATTAATTAAAGAAAATACCAGCTCAGCAATATCTCCCAGCTTTTCAGCAGCATTTATTTCTCATGTTACAGCAGAAGTATTTCATTTCAAGGATTTATTTTTCCATAAAATTATCTATTTACACTGATGCCAGCCTTAATAAAGCCAGCAGATATTAAAGTGTAAAACTATTGTTATTGCAGTGGTCTACAAGATTTATCTGGAAGCAATTTAACACAGCAGATAAAGCTTACTTCACTCAGTGGAATATTGAATTGTTAGTCTTGAACAAAACTACTCCCCAAAGAACCTTTTACTCAAATCTCAATAACAAGAATCTAATAAGCTACTGTCCTGTTTTTGCAACCCACAAGAGATCCCTCAGATCCCAATCAGGATTTCTATAAAAAAATTTAGTATTAACCCACAGACACAAAATTCCTATAGACAACTATAGCTTTTACCAAACAAAAACTTCTGTGTTTCCTTTTACAAATCTGGCCTGTTTTGTAGGTTAGAAATTTTCAGTTGCTTTCCTGAATTCCTCCCATCCCATGAGCCCAGTGACCAGCTGAGCAGCCTTAGCCAGGAGTCAGCTCTCTTGTCCCACAGCTCTATCTCAGAGGTATAAAATCTGCTGTCACAAATTCCTAACCCTTCCCTATCAGTGTGTTCTCCATTGACACGAGGTACTTCCACACTATTTGCTTTGCCTCCTTCTCACTTGAAATGTGATGCCACGACTTCCTTACAGATATTTCACTTCTCCCACCTACAAAAGCCATCCATTTACATGCCTCAGCTTTTCAGTGTGGGCACAAGGAACTGCCTCAACTTTCCTACCTAAAAGACACCTACCAAAGCTGTCAAGCAGTGAAGATCAGAGAAGGCAAGGTGCAGGGAGTATCTGCTGCCCACCAAGGCAGGATGATGCTCCCCAGCTCATTCTGCAGGTGGCTGGGGCAGGACCCAGGGCAGACCTGCTGGCCTCAGGAGCTCTGGATCCCTCTGTCTCCTGGGGATTTGGATTAACTACAGCTGATTACTTCAGCCTTATGCTGAACAGCTCTGCTGGAAAATCTACACCTGAGCCACATGTAAAGTGCAAAAGCTCAAGAGCCCTGGGCTGGGCACTCCTGCCCAGGGCAGACAGGCCTGGCTGAGCTGCAGCACCTTGTTAAAAGCAGCAACACTCAGCACACAGAGCCCAGCTGCAAACTCTGTCAGGATTTAGCAGCAGCAAAAGCCAGCCTGAGGTTGTTCCTTGTTCTGCTACAAGGAAAGACTTCACATCTGCACTCAGGGAAACACAAACAGGGGCAAATTGCCTGGTTCCCAGCAAAACCACTCATCTCCTTCAAAGAATTAAAAATGACTGAGTCATATTTATGTGAGTGTAAACAGAGAAGTGGGGCAAAGGAGGAGAGAGGAAGCAATAATCATCATATATGCTTCCCTAAAACCAACCAAGTTTTCCTCACTGTACCAAAGAAACATAAGAGGATCAAGAGAAAGGAGAATGAGACACATGATATACACGATATTTAACAGGATATACTAATGAAAAATAAAGTGAAAAGCTTCTTACCGGCATATTGTTTTTGTTATCAGGACAATTTTCATCCTTTTCCACTTGAATCTGTTCCTGACTTCCTGATTTTTTTAGGTTTTCAACTGTGTCTGTATCTTTGAATTCAGCTTCTGAACCCTTCATTGCATCAGTTTCATCTTTTACAGTAAGAATATCAGACATCCTCATTAGAAAAGGTTATTTAAAAATTCTACAAGAAATATGGAACCTTTAAGACAAAGAAAAAGTGAATTACTGAGTAATTTTAAAGTAATTAAAAAGCCACCCATACCTAAAAAGCTACCCAAAATAAACACGATTGTGCTGCAAAAAGGACTCCCCCCGCTATGATACTTTTTCCTGTCTTCTATTAGGAGTGATTTCTTTTTAACCACATTTATCAGTGGCCTGTAACAGCAGACATCTACACAAACAAGAATTAAGAGCTACACTCTTGGATAACACTCATATTTTCTCTTCCACATTTTAAAAATAAACACCTGAACATTCAGATACTCCAAATCAAACTAGGCTCCAACAGAAACAAGGCAAGATTTTCTCAAAGAAAAGATAATTACATATAGATTTATTTTAAAAGGGTTGAACGTAAACAGATGAATCATAATGCCCCAAGTGTGCAAACATCCATAAATTTCATGAACTTTTTAAGTTTCCTTGTTGACTGGACAAGTTCTGAATGCAGGAATTATCTTACCTACAAACTGCAGCAAAACTAGACTTAATAAAATTAAGCACTCTCAAAAACAATAAAGAAGAAAAAGAAACAATTTGGTAATTAGGATAATAACCATGATCAGCAATTAGAATTTACAATAATAATTTAAAATACTATATAAAGATGACTATTAAACCGCAGATTTTCCATAGGAAATAAGAAACACAACTCCTTGTCATTACTCGGCTACTGCAAGATGTAAAACCAAGGATTTTCCACTTCCTACAAGAAATAAAGAGTAAGATCTAAATGCCTAAACTCCTTCAAAAGAAACAAATAACAATCCAATAATGTTATGGAAAAACTTAAGTGTTTGATTTAGTACCTGATATGTCCTACAGTTTGGGGATTGTGGTCTCCCACAAAAATAAAATAGAATAATCCGAAGATTCTTTTCACAGTTGTCAGCCAAGATGTCAGTTGTGATGAACCATCTGGAATCTGGCAGGAGGAGTCCCATGTCCTTATCCCCAGTGTAGAGTCCTGGACAGAACTATTTGGTCTTGAATCAGCAAGAACATCCCTTTCCAATGCCTGAAAAAAAATCAACAGATGAAATGCATTATACTTTTATTTGCTGTGGGAGGGGAGAAGGAACATGATGACACTTAAAAGCTGAAATAGTTATTTTAAGGAAAAAAAAAAAAGGAAGAAATCAGCATTTGTCATATCCATCCTGTTCGCTCTATCTAGCGGCGGTAACAGTTTCATTGGACATCCAGGACATTTCTGTATTACAGAGTTAACAAGCAGTCATAATAAACATTTTGTTGGCATTCCTGAAACTCTGTTTCTATAAACAGGCAGGTATCTTCCCAAAGAGTCTGAAATATGCAGCCCAGCAGGTGTGGAGGAGTGACAGGCCATGAAAGCTCACAAATGTGTCAGCAGAAGAGCATTTTTCTCTTTGTTGGAGTTAATCATCTATGAGCACAACCCATCAGCCTTATTTTGGGCATCTGCTTTACTTTATTCAAGAAAATAACTGCCCTGGAATGAGGATTTACACATTTTTGCAAAGCTGATGATTTTCTATCTTTCCTCTGTTACATATTTGAGAAATAAATAAGAGCAGCAGCCCCAAGGAAACATTTGAAGCCCAGGCCAGAGTGCTGAGAGCAAAGGCAGTGGAACCCTGAGAACACCTCGTGGTGTGTAGCTCCTCCAGGGCCTCCTGCTCCCTCGCAGGGGAGATTAGAGCCTGGCTGCAACCACTGCTCCAGAGCTGAAGAAACACAGTTTGGTAAGAGATGAGGCACTACAGACATCTGGAGTACTGAAATTTGCTGCAAAGCATGGAAAAGAAAGATAAAAGATGGGCTGTGATTCAGGCCTGTAAGAGATCGTATTTACTGAATCTAATGGAGGGGAAAGGATTATAGATGAAAGAACAAACTGGAAATAAAAAGATACAAAAAGGCAACAAAGAATATCCCAGATTGCTTGGCTGTTGAGGTGGCTTTTCCAGACAATTCAGATGCTGATATAAAATTTAAGAAGCTCAGAACCTTTACAATAACAAAACTTGAATAGAGATGCTGTTTCACTTTGTTGTCTGACATGTGATTTGTAGAGTATTTAGATAAATGTTAAAAACCATTACAGGCTGAAGACAGCAACAGACAAAACCCAAAACATTTATGTCCAGTTGCAAATATAGTACTGCAAAGTAAGTCTAATTTATTTACTACTTCCTACACAAATTACAAATATAGTAATGACAATCAACATCTTCAAGTTTTCCTTTAATTTTATCAAATACACTAAGAGCTCCTATCCCTTTGCAACACCATTTTAAAAACACATATCAGCATACTCAGTTACCAAAACACATTCTCACTTGCCTAGGTCAATCCAGGTAACTGATAGAGAAGAAAAGTCCTTATATTTCCTAAGACAAACTAAGTGCAAATTAGTTTATAACTTGTTCTGAACAGATTTTTCCCTGCAGACAGATTTAAAGCCTGCAGATTTGGTGTTATGTATCCTACAGTCGAAGAGACAGAACTGAGGAAAAAGCTGTAGAGCTCCAATTCACACAAAAAAAAAAATCTCAATTTTGAGTTCATAGAATGGAGCTATTTTGAGTCAACTGGAATCACCATATGTGCATCTATGAGTAAATGCCAAACCCTGTACTTCACACTAGCAGCAAAACACACTGAATAGAAAAATGAATCTTTGCTTACCTGATTATTTTTTAATAATACCAGCTATAGATTTATTGAGCTTGGTAATGCAACCTTGTGTTTGTAATCCACAGCTGTGAGTTTAAGTACTTGGATAACATTCTGTCCCTGAAGTTTTCTCTAATTCAGCAAATTTTCAGAGCTGAGATAATATGGTTCTAGTTTCTAAATTTCCACAGACTGGATTAAAAAAGATTTAAGGAATTTAGAAATTTCATGTGCTGCAGACTGAGTGGGGGAACAAATCACAGCCCATCCTTATGAATCCCACCTCTTTCACCTCCCCACACAGTCGAATGTTAATTTCTTGTGTCCCATGTAGGACAGGTAAAAGGAGAAAAAAATAGCAGGAAGGCAGTCCTTAGGAGCTGACTGTTCTTTGGGGAGAAAAGGGGTCTGGTAAGCAAAATGATTAATTGAAACAAAATCCCAGCACTGGCTTTAGACTAGGTTGCAATACAGACCAACACAGTATTTGCAGATTTTAACAGGAGGGAGACAAATAAGGTTCTGCCCTAAATTAATCTAAACAGTTAAAAGGACTAAATATTAGAGGCAGAGTATTACCTGGGTTTGCAATTAAAAGTTCAGCAGCTCACAACATGTCTCATGAAAGAAAAGCTAGTAATAATTCCAGTATCTTTTATAGGTAATAAAAATAGACACCTACTTTAGTAGACAGGAAGTAAAAGTACTTTCATGTGAGACTGGAGGATAAAATGTCATACCTATATTTTTCACCCTCAGGACTGCTGTCCCCATCGAAATACTCAGTACTGAAATGTACATTCTTCTTCATCATATTAGCAACATTATACCCCAAGAATCATCCTTAAGTCTGGTAATCCTCTTTCCCACAGGTCACCACTTGGTCTATGCAGCTCCTCTCTCTTTTCAGAGGGAAAAGTGTTATCATCAGCTGTGAGATGGATGTCCAGTACTGCACAGACATGAGCTTTGCAGTCAGCAGATCAGGAAGTTGGTCAGTGCTGTGCTCTTACTGCTTTCTTTTGCACAGCCTAGAGGATAAGTTATAAAAAACCCCAATAGATCAAGCAAAGTCATTCCTGAGTTTTATGATGGCAGCCTCCTGAATCTTCATACTGGGTCCCTCATTTTGGGTTCTGACTTTAAAATTACCCTATGTAAACCCACTAAACTGACTTAGAATGAGCAGAGATATTTCTGGGAATAGGATCTACTCAATCCAATTTCTCTAAGAGGCATCAAGAGCTCCAACTCCTTCTTGGCAGTGTAGATGGAGATAGGAAGCTCTGCACTGCCCATGACAGAAGAAATACATTCTTTTTCTTTTAAAAAGAAGATAAAAGACAGAAGGTTATTTTTTTCTTTAATTGTTGTTATTGTTGTCAGAAGACCCCAGGAATGGGTGTCAAAATAACTTGAATCAATTAAATTCAGGGCAGAAAATTGGATTAGAAAGGTGGGGGTGAAAAAAAAAAAAAAATCTATGTTCAACACGCAAATGGACATACGGTCCATGGAAAGCTAACATGAAAATTTGCTTCTTAAACAAGCTTCTGTTGACTGATAAATCAAAAGAATTGCTGCAAGCAACACACACTGGCCTCTTCCCACAACTTCTATAGCAGCTTTGTACAGCAACTCCTTCCACAGCTCAAGTGGAAAAACCAATGGATGAATCCTACAAAGTCTGTGGGAAAAGTTGTGCCTTACCCTTGACATAACAGTGGTACAAACCTTTCTTGGATGTGGAAGTGCCTAATTCTTTTTTGAGAAAAGTCAGGACGTTTCCTAGAAAAAAGGATCTTTGAAGATTCATAAGAGACCTGCACAACAAGAGCTTTTTCCAGCTGTTTTTCATCTCAATTATATAAACAAATCTATATTAATATCACAACCTCAGGGTTCCTGTGACTAGAACTCTCCCCACCAACTGAAAACACTCAAAGTTACATATGTTTCTTTGTTAGTATCAAAGAGGAAAACATTCATACCTTAAGCAGAAAGGTACCAAACAAAATTATCTTAATAAAAACCATAGGTATAACTAAAAGGATTACTGCATCCAGCTACTGCTTAATCCCTGTGGATCACTACCTACACACAGCTCTTGGTAATAATTAATTTTGGTAAGGCAGACTGATGTCTTAGACACCCAAATCAAGGGAGAACTAATAAAGGGGAGCTCCTGCTTCTTCCTTCTGCTCCCTACAGCCTCTGCCCCATGGTCTCCAGGTGTGGTCCCACCTCCACCTTTCCACCAGCTCTGGTGTTTGCCAAATTTTTCCATGGTATGATTCCTTGAGAAGTGACCCAGAACCATGAAGCTCTTTGGCTAGGGCAGGTTCTGTTGGGCTAACGAGCTATGGGGGTGCACAGGACATTCATGGGAGCTCTGGGCAGCAGGAACAAAGCCCCAGCAGGAACAGCAGCAGCTCTTTCTGCAGGGGTGACTTTCAGCTCTGCCCCAGTAGTTCCAGTAAGGGCATTTCAACAGCACTGGCCCAACTCAAAGCAATGAGAAGGTGCAGATGAATTTATTATCTGGTAACTGAGAGCCTGTAGATGAATCCTGAGACAAAAGGTGGACAACCTGACAAACATCTATATTTGGAACAAATTAGTCCCTCCCAGGAAACTTTTGTTAAGGCAGAGGTGGGAAAAAGACTGGAGGAAAGTGCTCGAGGTGATAAGGGAAAGGAAAGGAGAAGAAACAAAATAAAGCAACCCCACACAACCTTGAAAATCCTGACTTTGAGAGCAAGGGAGGATTCCAGAGGGAGCAACAATTCTCCTGCCCACAAACAGACCAAGCTGTGCTCAGGGATGATCCAAGAGCCATTAGCCAGGCTCTGCAATTTTGCTCTCCCTAATAACTAATGCCTCAGTGGCCCAGGCTCTTAAAAAATACTACACAGCACCTTTAAAAATGTAGCAGCTGATATTAAGATTGCCATTCATTTAACAAAAAATTCAAAGCAGCTTTGTACAATTATCAGAAGCATAAACTGGAATTATGCAGAGGCAGCTGTTCCCTTTTTCCAATAAAGTCAACACATTCCTGCTTTTTCCATGCCATCTTTTGGGTAAAGTTTGAGACCCATTAAATGACCAACTAGGGAGCAAAGAGTCCTGGCCTGCCTACTGAACTCTTGATATTGTGCAGGTCTGATCATAATTAAAAAAATTATTAGAAACAAAGAAATGAGAAATTGGTTCCCTTTTGAAGCATGAATCTAAAAGATTCCGTATTCTTGCTCACTGGGAAATGCCATACAAGTGAATCCATGCTGCAATGATTTAAATACACTTAAAGATTTATGCTTTTTTTGATGATGCTATTTACACAGATTTTGAAGT